CCTTGGGAAATTCTGTTCCAACTGGCTTGCCAACAAGTGAGTGTTCACATAAATTTAAACTGTTACATTACAGCAATTAACTAATGTGCTCTTAGTTCACATGCTGAAAGAGAATCTTTGATAAAGAAGCTGGTGAGCCAGGCACTGGTGGTTCACGCCTGTAATCCTAGATACTCAGGAGGCAGAGATCAGGAGGATCAAAGTTCAAAGCCAGCCTGGGCAAATAGTCCCATGAGACCCTACCTCAAAAACACCCTTCACAAAAAGGACTAGAGGAGTGGCTCAAGGTATAGGCCCTGAGTTCAAGCCCCAGTACCACAAAAAAAAGAAGCTAGTGAGTAGACATGCAGACATCCTCAGCACTGTTGCCATACTTTCTCCTGGGTTTGCTGAGATAAGCACTGTGCTTTTCGCAGTTAAGTGTTTACGATCATAAAAGAGTAAGTTTGACCTCAGGACAGACATGCAGATAAGAGCACCAGGCAGTGCTCATTGTTTCCTGTGGGTCAAACACAGCCATTAAGCTTTTATGACTTTTCATTTAACAGAGGAATTACTTGGCATGATGACTATGTTTGTCTGTTATTTCAGTTTCATATGTAATCTGAGTGCAATTGCTAAAAACAAATACACTGTATGAATGGAAGTGGGATAAGTGTTTACACATAAATTTTTCATACATTTTAAACATAACTTGAAATTTAAAAGCTATGCAAAGTCGCACATACTCCTAAAGTGTCTGAGTCACTTCTCTAAACTGCCGAGACACCAGTTGCTAACTGTAACTCTAGTGTTCTTGGCTTCTTGTTGGGTAAAATGGCTCCTTTGATCACAGAAGTTTCTGTTAAGGGATATATCTCTCTCAAGGATGGACACCTGTCTTGAGTGGACCATCTGGCACACCCCAACCTTGTTTAATGGGATACTCAGCCATCTATGTCATAACTCCCAAAATTTAGTAAATAGACCAACCTTGAAATCTCTGGGCCTAATGATAATGAACCAGGTGTCCAGCACAAAGGGGAGTGAGCACTCTTCCTAAGGCAAATTTAAGCCAAACCCCCAACCCACTTTTCCCCATAAGTACCCCTGACGTTAGAGCGCTCATTGCACCTGTCATCAGACGCACCTGCACCCAGGTACAGGCTGTGCACTATCCTTTCTTTGTTTTGCTTTACTGATAGACTTTCTTGGTCTCTTTAAAAAAGTACTCTTGGCTTCTTAAATTCCATAGAAAAGGCTATATATAATATATGTCTACCAATAAATATATCCTACTATACATTAAGAAAAATATTTTCAAAAAAATAACATTTCTAGAAATACAAAATGTTTTCATAAGTTGTTGATGTATTGCAGACAATTCAAGATTACTTTCTTCCTAGGTCTTCACTGGAAATTAAGGTTACAGGGCTGGGATGATGGCTCAATGGTAAACCACCTGTCTAGCATGTATGAGGCCCTAAATTTGATCCCCAACATTGGGGTGGGGGGAAGAAATTAAGATTATTAATTGATTCTAATCAATATGCATAAAATTCTAATTAATATTCTATATGCAAAGAACCCAAGAACAAAGTTAAGATTTTTATGAGAAAAAAAAGTGTAAGAATGAATAAAACTCAGGGCCTCTCGCTTGCTAGGCAGGCGATCTCACTTGAGCCTCCTACCTGCCCGAGAAAAGAGTAATTTTGTCTAAATGTTGTATCAACATGGTAAAAGTCCCATAAGGAATTCTATTCCAACTGGCTTGCTAACAAATGGGTGTTCAGATAAGTTAAAACTGTTACCATATAGTAATCTGTCTAAATTCAGAGGGTTTTTTTTTAAAGAATTGTCTCAAAATGTAAATTTAAGGCAAGAAATAAAAACAAGAATTAGGAGAGAGAGTTGCAAAGGAAGTTATAAGGATATATTTTGGGGTAAGCAAAATTTAAAAAGAACTTTTTGTATGAAAAGGAATATGGGGTGGTAAATAAATTTTTTGTCCTCAAGTGCAATGACTCAACTTTTCTAGAAATGAAAAAAAGAAGTATGAGGCCAAAACTACAGGTTTAAGCAGATCACAAGGGGTCTGAGCAGGTTGCAGAAGGTATGTGAAGCATGTCTTAGAAAATTTGACCTGTAATCCTAGTTACTCCCGTGGCAGAGATCAGGAGGATCACAGTTCGAGGCCAGCCCAGGCAAAAAGTATCCCTATCTCAAAAATACTCAACACAAAGAAGGGCTGGTGGAGTGGCTTAAGAGTACCTGCCTAGTAAGCATGAGGCCCTGAGTTCAAAGCCCAATACTGCCAAAAAAAGAAAAAGAAAGAAAGAAATTGAGTGTGATCTTGTTGGTGATAATTGGAAAAAATTGTTTATAGTATTTTTATAAAAGCTGAGCTATAATACACTGATACAAAATCAGAATCTAATTCTCTGTTTAAAGAAACAAGGTTTTCTTGAAATAGTCCTCTGCTCTTGGTGAAAATTGCAGGGTTTTGATCTTAACCTGCAATCTACTTTGTAATTCTCCAACCATCTTATCCATGGCAGCTTGTCCTGCCCTACAGTTCCCCTCTACTCCAGTCAACTCCTGCAAGCTTTTTCTCCCCCATCTTGACTCTGCTGTTGTGGCCTAATATAACATGACTCTTTATTCCTGGCTTTTCTCCACGATTTTGAATTGTTCTGTGTAACCAGACACTTACGCTTTTACAGTGCTTTTACTAAAGTTCCAACAGTCGTGTGCTTCCCTGCTCTGGTTTTCCTGTGTACAGCCTCCTACGACGTGATACACACAGCCTTGGACACACGCTTTTCCAGGGTCTGCTCAATTCCAGTACCTTTCGTCAGACTCCATTCCTGGTGGTCCAAATGCACCTTCCATGGGGAACCATCACATCTGCTCTTTTCTTCCTTCTGGTTTTTTGTTTTGTTTTGTCTTCCTTCTGGTGTTTTTGGTTACTTAGGAAAACTGAGTGTTAAGAGTTAAGTGGGTTTTTTTACATCTGTTTGCTCTCAAATTTTTAATCACTTTATATACTTATAATTACTTAATAGATCTAGTTAAATCACTCTTGTTAAATGATTGATTCACAATCACCTGTTGTCCTATTTTGAACAAATGTTTTAAAGGTCTGGGGATCTTCGGCAGACTTCATCTGGATCAAAGTTCTAAACTAAATCTTTTTGACTCTGAGATTTTCCAGGTAAGTCCCTGGAGTTCCTCAAAAGATACACCTTGAAGAGAGGGGAAACTAATAAGACTTACTGAGAATACTGTACTGTTCTGGAAAAACTGTCAAATAATAAGGTGCTAAGTCTGTAATTTACAAATGCTGTTGTTTATGTTTAGAAGACAATGTGAAGTTCTAATGCTCTTGGTGTGATCTGTCAGAATTACCATCCTAAAATGCTGGAAGCAAGGAAAATAACTGAATTTCCTTGGCAACTGCTGAACTCTTATCAGAATTCTACCCATGGGTCCTAGATGAGCAGCCTGAGAACCAATCCTTCCAAACTTCTTTGTTGCACAACTGTGGCTAGAAAAGCTTTGACACTGATTCCTAGCCACCAATCGTTTCCCCCCAGTGGGAGATCAGACCAGACCAACAGCAGGAATCCCAGCAATGGGAGACATCACAATGGAACTACAGTGTTTTCAGAGAAATGATCTTGACCAAAAGAGGGATGCACAAGTTGTTGTCAGACTCAGACTGGAACTATTTGTGTCAAACCCAACAAAATAGATAAATGAAGCCAGGAAGTCATGAAGAAAGGGTTCTCGCACGCAAGGACCTGATAGTAATGATCAAAACTGATGGAACTACAGCTGGCAGCAATGTTTAGCTCATTGTCAGCTTTTTTCAACTTGGAGATTTCACATAATAACCTGAACTTCCAAGTTCTCCCGTTAAACTGGTATCCAAAGGAGCTTCCTGTTATGATTATTTGGGGGTCTCCCCTACCTTCTTTGACATGAGATCCTCCTGAAAAGTGTGGACAACCCTAGACACACAAGCGTCCACAGCAGGCGAACGGCCCCAGTGCCAGGGTCTTCCTGGCTGAGGGTCCTGACACAGAAGGAACCCCATCCCCAGGCTCCACAAAGAAGGCTCAGGTGAAACTAGGCTGAGCATGTGAGAGTGACTGTATTTCCCGGTACCCCAGGTACCCCACTTTTTCCAGGGCATGTGGTTCTGGGCATGTGCACTGAACTCTTACCTGCTGGACCCCCAGGCAGCCAGGGACCACATCCTGTCAGACAGGGGGGACTCAGTAACTCCCCATAAATGACAAAGAGGGGCACCAGAAGATAACCCCCTCTGAGACCATTTCCAACCCAGTCTCCAAAGCAACCCAGAGCATATCAGGCCCTTCTGAGCTCCTTCACAAGTCAGGCTCTTTTCTCCTCTGCACATTTAGGGACGGTCCCAGTGTGGGGGCTATAGAGCTGGTGCAACCCGTGCTCAGGTGAAACCGTCTATCTGGTAAACAATGCTGACATCTCTCAATCTGAACCGCTCTTCGGTTGGAAATAGACTCACGTAGCCAAAGATGAGAAGCTGCCCACTCAGTCCCTCTTTAAGTTGCTGCCAGAGAGCGGTACACAGCCACATCTCTGACCACTGTCCCCACAGCTGGAAAATTCAAGGGAGCTGCTCCGAGTTCCTTCAGTGACCCACAGCCCACTTCAGCCCACTGCCCGAGCCCCTGGGCTCCCCTAGACTCCTGTTCCTCTGATTGGGCACATGTCCAGAGGGGTTGTGACAAGCAGCCTGCTGATAAATAATTACAGGGCGCTTGCTCTCCGGTATGGGACTTTCCTGATCAAGGGACAGACTCAGCCTCAGGCCAGGCGTGCCCGCTTGTCCTAGTTGTAGGGCTCCCTCCCGGAGGCCTGGGTCTTGGGTGGATCTCTTCAACCTGCTCTTTGGAGGGTGGTTTGGCTGGGCCTGGGTCTCCCAGGAGACAGAGTGGCATTGTGAAACGGGCCCCGTCCCTGGCGTCAGAGCCCTACGGTTTCAGGAAGGGGATGTTTTTGGGAGGCTTTTCCGGGAACTGCAGGGAGTACAAACGGGCCATGTACTGGAGTTCTGGCATCACCATTCTCTGACAGGAGCGCAGCGTGGCGTTCTCCAGGCCCTGCCTGAGGGTGTAGCCCAGGATGTCTGCTTTGCCGGACTGGAAGGGCTGCAGCTGCGGGTCTGCGATCTCCTTCTTGCGCTTGGGCTCCCCGTCCTGCAGGCAGCGCGCGGTGAGCTGGCGCTGGCGCGCGCGCAGCTGCGCCACCTCGGCGCGCAGACGGCGCGGGCCCAGCTCGGCGTGCAGCCGCGCCCAGAGGGTGCGGTTGAAATGCTCGTAGAGGCTCCAGTCGAGCGCGCACCAGCGCCGGGCGCGCTCCTGGCTCTCGGGTGCCAGGCTGGTGACGCTGCGCTCGCTGCGCGCGTTCAGCTTGAAGTAGACGACGTCGTCCAGCTGCCAGCGCAGCAGGTGCCGCAGCAGCACCACCGACTCGTCGAAGTACTCAGCGATCAGCACCACGTGGAAGCGGCGCTCCACGTCCGCGATGCGCGCGCGCACGTAGGCGGCGTCGTCCCGCGCGTTGTTGTCAAAGCCGAAGTCGAACCACATGCAGTTCCGGGCGTACGCGTTCTGCGGGCCCGCGCTGTCGTCGTAAAACCTCCGCGGTGCCGCCAGGAACGCGTCCAGGCTGCTGACCTTCTGGAAGGCAGGCGCCGAGCCTTTGTAGTAGCTGAAGGAGGACTCCAGCTGGAAGATGGGGTTCCGCAGGATGGAAAAGTAGAAAGTGTCTTCGGGCATGACTTTCTGCACCTGGTTGGGGAAGGAATTGAGGTTCTGGCTCCTGCAACGGAGCCCCCCCACCACCAACCCGCCCAGTGAAGCCGTGCGCAGTCTGGACTCACCCTCTGAGTTCCCATGGAGACACCATACGGCACCCCCACTGGAGCAGAGCATCCAGGAGAGAACTGCTGGGGCCAGGAGGCAAGCAGCCAGCTCTCCTTCCTGGCCCTCAGCACAACCCAGCCGCTCCTTACTTTCCCCCACCTGGCCGCCCACAGCCAGTCCAGGTCACCGTGCTCCCTGCCAGCCACTCTCCATGGAGCACCCACAGTGACTGGAAAATGCCAATACTAGACCACAACTTTCTCCACCCAACTCCCCCACCAGTCCTCTTTGGAAGGAAGGTCAGGGAAGCCCCTGAGCGGAATTGATCTCTAGGCTGAGACTGGAATGACCGGGAGGAGAGTCTTTGGAGACCTCCTTCATCAGAAGGAGCTGGAGATGCCTTCAGACGTAGGACTCTGGGGCTGCCAAGCCTCCTTGCACGAGCACTTTCAGGCCACTGGCAGCCTGCAGAGGTAGGGCCCAGCAGGGTCTGGGGAAAGGCCTCTCCAGCCAGCCCTAGGGCCTTAGATCCCTTTGCCATCCTCTAGGATGGTCAAACCCAAAGCCACGTCCAGCACAGCCTCCACCCACTGCCTCTCCCCACCCTCACGCTTCCCGAGGAGCTGGCCATCAGCACCTCAGGCAGGTTGAACCTCAGGTGGTTGCACATGATGTTGAAGCGCCGGGGAGGGTGACCATCCTGCGTGATGCCCTCCACGTAGCGTGCCAGGAAGAGCCAGGGGTAACCCAGGTGGAAGTGTGAACCAACAGGCAGCGCTGTGGACAGGTTGTGCGTCTCGGCAAAGCGGTACAGGATGTTGAGCACAGTGCTGCTGGCTGTCTTATGCGTCTTGAGGAACATGATGTTGGTGACCGGAAGTCCCTCGGCCTCATCCCTGAGCAGGCTGAGAGGGAGAGCACAGGCCACCGTCAGTCAGCAAGGGAGCACCCCCACTGGCATCCCTCGAATAGCAGCGCCCAGCCTGGAGAGCCCCAGACCGTCTGCTCTCCGAACCCCGAGTCCCCAACCAGGAACCCCAATCCCAGCCCAATCGCTGTCACCCTGCCCTAGAAACTCCCTAACCTTTGGCCCTGCCACTGGGGCAGACACAGCCCTCCCTGACAGCAGGGTGTCCTCAGCGGCTGTACCTTCTGTTCCCAGAGGAGCCACAGGCTCAGCCCCCAGATCCCAAGCATCCCCCTGGGACTTCCAACCTGCTCTCTGGCTCCCAAGGTACCTGGTGTGGCACTGACCCTGTGACCTCGGCCCCACCTCCAGGATGCCTTTGCTAACCTTTCATCCTGGAACAAGGAGGCCAGCCAGCCTGACACAGGGCCAGAGTGGACAGATGCTAGGACCCACCTAGCTGTAACACAGGTGCCCTCCCTGCCCTGTGGGACCAGTAAGAGTGACCAGGATGGTAAGGGGCAGGGCTAGAAACCTGTGCCAGCCCTGAGGATAAAAAGGGCTGTGGGTACACAAGGATGAGTGTCATCCCTGGGATCGGCCCTGAAGCAGCATTCCTCAGGGGCTGCTAACACCCCTCCTTCCTGTGGAGAGCCAGTCAGGGACAAATGGGGGAGGGAGAGGCTAATGCCCTGCCCTGGGGGTCACCGTTGGGCTGTGAGGGTGGGATGTGGGGCCTTCACAGAGAGTGGGCCCCTAGCAGGCAGGAAGAAAGGATGATGGGTGCCCTGGATGTAGTGGGACACGGATCTGATCTTCACGCCACCATGAGGGCCAGACCAGCTCTATTGGGAGGATCAAGAGGTGACCTCCTTGCAGCTCCCTGCCCCAGCCAGCCCTGCTCCCAGCACCTGACACTGCTGTCTACACCGACTCTACCCAGTGCCCTCTTCAGCCTAGTCCAGGCCCACTCTCCTAGAACCCTCCCCATATATATGAGGGGCTTGTCACAATGAGAGACACTGCGGGCCCCAGGGCATTATAGCTTCCCACAAAGAAGACCCCTACCCTCTCCCAGAGGGAAACTGAGGCTCAGCAGGGAGGCATGACCTGCCATGCTGGTGCCCTGGTGGTGGGCAGAAAGGGGTCCTGGCCCTGCTCTTGGGGATAGCAGGGGAGAGGGGCAGCCTCCAGAGCAAGGGGTGCCCAATGCAGGACTTACGGAGTAAGCAGCCCAATGTCCACATGCAGGAAGCCCAACAGTAGGAACACGACCAGCACCAAGAGGAGGACAACCCAGAAGGTCCTGTAGGCAATACCTCGGTGTCACTCAAGCCTCACAGCCTACTCGCCTGCCCATGGCAGAGCAGACCCCAGACCCTTGGACCACAAGCCCAACATGGGTCTGGGACACCTAGTCCGTTTAACAACTCACAGTGAGCCCTGGGCAGGTGATAGGGGTTCCACCCTCCTCAGCTCAGTACCAGCAGCAGCTGGGCAGGCATGGCAGGGGCTGACAGGCCAGCGATGGAAGCCGGTCAGGAACACACTCTCCCATCCCCCATGGCTGCAGCGATTGAGAGGTGGATGTCATGGACTGGCCCCCCCAAATCCAAACCAAGGCCACAGTCACCGATGGAATGACATTTGGAGATGGGTCCTTGGGAGGTGACACATGTCCTGATAGGAAGAGACATAGAGGTGTCTACACGAACTGGTGCCCCTGAGGACAGAGAATGGCAGGCCAGAGCAGGTGGACTTCTCGGAACAGAGGTGGGGTGGGCTGGCACCTGCTGCAGAGGCAAGAGTGTCACTGCTGCCTCTCAGCTGCCAGCCCTTGAGCCAGATCACGCTAAGGGGTCCTCACAGCCCAGGGCTGCCTGGAGGACCAGTATCTGCTGGATCTTGACACCAGTGCAGACAGCACCCTTCCCCCATCCCGTGTCATATCTGACTGCAGGATTCATAGATTACATCATCCCAGGACACAGAACCACTAAGCAGGACACAGAGGCCCTGGCCCAGCCTACTCAGGGGGGCCTGCAGTGAAGTGTTGGAAAACCATCTTCTCTGGGGCTCAGAGACCCCAGCTTTCAGCTGTTTTTCTGCCTCCTTTGCAATCTCAGCCACGTGCACTAAGAGAGTACATCCACCTCTTAGTGTCTTGGTTCTGATTCGCCAGTGAGCAGACCTGCTGTGCGAGCTCCATGGAGAGTTACGTGCTCCTGGTCCCAGTGCATCCCTCCAGCTCCTTTCCCTCTCCCTGAGAGGCCCTGGTTGGACATTTTGAGATCCACCAGGAGGGGCTGTGCATTTCTTTGGGATTCCCCTGCACACATGACAAGGGACAGATGGCACTTTAAGTGCACCACTGAATGATTAGATTGGGATATTGATTTTCAGAGAGAGGAAACATGTGCACTGGCCAGGTTTCCTCCCCTGGCTTCACTGATGACATCATGAACCTTGGATTTTGAATGGAGAGATTGTGACCTGGAGGATGTGCCAGGCCACAGTTCCTATTTCCTGAACAGATAAGTGCCATTCATTTGTCCCTAGACACACCCAGAGGTTTCACAACTGTCCTTTTCCAGGTGGTCCTGGGCGTCATCACCTTTCCAACACAACATCCCAGAGCCAACCCTGTGATGACTGGCAGAGAGGGCTGAGGAGACCCCACCCACTTCCTACCACCCACTTCCCACCTGTGCATGAGACTGAGCTCTGCAGTGTGTTCCAAACACTATTATGTTTGAAGAAGAAGGAGGAAAGGAAAGAAAGAAAGGAACAGAGCCAGCCCAACCCAGGGCTGAGTTTCCACAGACAGTGCCTGGCAGGGCAAGCTGCCCCATGGGCTCTGGCACCAGGGAGGAACCATGGGAGCCAAGAAAAACCTAGAGTAACACCCAGGAATACCTGAACAGTCACAATGAGGCACAGCAGGTCTCCCAGACTCCAGAACAGGCAGAAAGCCACAACCACTAACGTTGCTTGGTGCAACTCCATGAGAGGACCCTGTAGCCATAGGACCAAAATCGGCCCAGGGAGACCTGGTGCAGGGAGGGGCTGGAGGATGAAATGGAGGCTCCCAGGATCGGGGGGAGGGGGGTGCCCATGACAAAAGCATGAGTGGTTGGCTCCTAACTGCTCTTCCTCTTCACCTGCTAGGTCAGAATTCATTCCACACAGGCCAAGTTTTCAGATATAGACAACAAACCACCAGTACAGTAAAGTGGAGTGAGGGCGCCTTGCTAAGCAAAACACAAAATGGAAAAGGTGTGAAAAATTTTAGAAATAACTCCAGCAAAAATGTAGTCTTTCTGGCACAGCAAAGAAGCAGCTCCACACAGATGCTAAGGTCCCAAAACCGACAGGAAGAAAGCAACCAGAAGAAAGTAGGTGAAGAGCACCAGGCACTGTTCAGGAAAGAGAAGCTTGTTTAAAAACAGAAGCTGTCTCGCTGGTAATAAAATGCCATAGCAGGGGTCTCCCACCTCCGGGTGTGCCAGACTTGCTGGCATCCTTCCTGGTGCTGGCCTGAGGGCCAGCTTCTGTCTGGATCTCTGAGTTCGAATGCACAGTGCCTTTGCCCAGGGATTTATCCTGACTTTGCCAGGCAGATTCTGATCTGTGGGGTGAGGAGATGCATGTGTGGGCAACCATTATCCTCATCATCCCTATGTGTCCCTTTGAGGTCAGCATCCGACAGGCTGTTAAAACCCATGGGACCCATGGGTTTTAAGGACAAGGCCTGTGACCTAGAGCTGCGCTCTAGCCAGCAAGCGCACTGCCTGGCCACACAGTGTTCACTGCAGCCTGGGGGACCAGCACATTGATGTCCTCCCATGGGAACCTGGCAGGGAAATCACCTGGAGAGCCAGTTCCTGGTGGGAGGCCCAGTGAGAACAAGGCCTTGAGTGGGAAAGAGAGGGACAGCACTGTTGTGGGAAGGGTCCCCTCAGGAGGACTGGGACAGGAAACTCAGATGGACACCAGAAACCCTAAGGGTTTTCCCCAAGAAGGGAAACAGGTATTGGGATGATTTGAAGCAACATTGCCCGCCCACCCAGGGAAGCAGCAGTTCCCATGTCCAGAGACAGCTGTGTTCTGAATCACATTGTCAGTGTTGGAGTTCTCAATGGGATTTTGCAGTTTTCTCTGCCCATGCCCCATTCTTCTCTTGCATTTATTTACATTGGCTAGCTTTTGTTGCTATTGTAAGTAAAATGCTTATCCAAATTCCATTTCCAGGTACTTGTCACCACTACTTTCCCACCAGGACATTTAGGATGGCAGGACAGGTACAGTCTGTGTGTCCTGTGAGCTCCTGAATGTCTGTGAGTCAGTGGTCTGCCATGCCACTATGAGTCACAGCTTCCAAGCCTTGCAGTGGTTGTTGAGGGGATTGATCCGGATACACCTGCCTGGTGGCCCCGTGCATTCCTCACACCTTTCCCCACCACAGCCTATTCCCAGCTCAGGGCACAGCTGCCCATACTGCACCCCAGTGTCCCAGACACCTTCTCTGAAGCTTCTCAACCAGGGCAGTCCAGCCTGTAGGGCCCCCTGGTCTCCCTCAACCCACATGGGACCCATGGAACCCTCAATTGTGGCCACAAGGCTTTGGTCAAAGTCCTTACCCCTCTTGGCCACCAGCTGACCCTATCCTGGTCTTTGACAGATTCCTTGCTTACCAGGGTACACTAAGCTCATCTTGGACCTCTCCTGGCCCGGGCCTGGAATCAGCCCTGTCTCCAAGGAGTCCTGGGTCCCTCTGGCAGGAAGTAGCCTTTAGGAGCCCTAGGGTGGGTGCCAGGGGTGCTTGCTGCTCTGAAAAGGTCACATTTTCTGGCCCTTCTCAGTAGATCAAGCTGGGGCTACACATGTAAGACAAAATCCTTTGCAAGTCCCCACCATCATGTCCAGTGAGATTCTGCAGCTTTTAGCTGTGCCTCTTGCTGTCACACCCTGATACCTGTCTTCCACTCCAAAAGTGTGGGTCCCAAACATGCAGGGGACGGCAGATGTGTTCCACCTCAGGGTCCCCTCAACCTACCAGTCAGCAGTAGGCTGCCTTGGGGGCTGGTAGAGGGGAACAAGAGAGCAGCAGTGGGGGTGGGGGTCCACCCTGGAGGCCACCCATCCAGTAAGAAGCACCACCCTGAGACTTGGGCTTTCTGAGCCACCAACGGGCCATTCCCAGTAAGGAAGGTAGCTGTCAGAGCCCCGCACCTGAGTGTGGAGGGGCAGTTTACAACCCTGAGTAGTTAAAGTTTAATTCCCACTCATAAGAACAGTGCAGATATTAATTGGGCTGATAGCTCACTTTTCATTTTTATTCAGCAATCATTTTGTTCCTCCACATAAATCCATTCCTCAAACAATCCGCACTTTTACTGTCTTCCTCATGGCTTCACAAACCTGCACACAAACTGACCATCTGTCTGGTGATTCACCAGGAATCAGCCTGGGCAGGAGAGACCCTGGCACCAACTCAGGATCCAGGGAGCCCCGAAGCAGAGGCTGAGGACAGTGCCTAGCCAGCAGCCTGCCCCTGTTCCAGCCACAGCCCTCACCATCCTGCATGCACCCCGCCACCCTGCACACATCCTTCCTGCCTCAGGAGGAGAGACAGGGTGCCACAACCCAGAGCCCCTGCACTGGGCCTAGCTGGCCTTGCTCTTCTCTGTATAAGTACAAACACAGATCTTCAGTTTTTTAAATAAATTTTAATTCCCTGGTGCAAAAAAGGAAAGGAATTCTCTCCTTTCCTTTTCTTAGAACACTAATTTAAACTGGTGACTCTGAATCCTTTGTCCAGCCCTCAAGATGGAGAGAAACCGTTTTGAAAGCTTAGCAAGTCTATTGCCAGTTTCACAACCCAGCACTGGTCTTTCCCTGATCCTGGGTTCTCTCTCTGAATATCCTCCATGACGGGAGACCAGGAGGTGCCTGACTCCTAGACAGAAGCCTACTCCCTGCTATAAAGATAGGAGTTCACTTTTCTTTGGGGTAAAGCCAATTATCTGAGCAGGTGGCCACCCCCCCAATTACCAGGTGGGTGCAGGGTTGAACTCGGTGAGAAATGGTGCTATCCGACAGATGCCAGGTGCCAGTGGCTCATGCCCGTAATCCTAGCTACTCAGGAGGTAGAGGTCAGGAGGATTGTGGTTCAAAGCCAATCCTGGGCAAACAGTTTGTGAGACCCTATCTTGAAAAACCCATCACAAAAAAGGGCTGGTGCAGTGGCTCAAGTGGTAAGAATGACTGCCTAGCAAGCGTGAAACACCAGTGCTGCCAAAAAGAAAAGAAAAGAAAAAGAAAAAGAAATGGTGCCATCAAGTCCTACTTAGGATCAGGGACTGTTCATCTCAAGAGCATGGCTGTGGGCTGTCAGAGTGGCTCAAGTGGTAGAGTGCCTGCCTAGAAGGAATGAGGTCCTGAGTTCAAACCCCAGTACCACCAAAGAAAAACAAAACAGAAGAGCATGGCATAACAGGACAAGCTTGCAGGCCTCTTCAGCGTCCCTGGATGAATTCTCCCCAGACAATTCCAATTCCAGGCTCTTGTCCGTTTCAGTCTTGAGAGGGAGGCCACAACCCAAGGTTCTTGCCTGGCAGCCTGGGCAAACAGCCTGGTCCCCCTGGTGTTCCCTCCAGCCTCCCACTCCACCTCCTCCTCCTCGGCTTGCATCTCCCCACAGAGCTCCCAGAACCCAGAGCCCTTGTGCCACAATGGGGGTGTGGGGCTGGGAGGCTGTGCAGCCGCAGGTGTAGAATCCTGGGTGTCCTGCATTCTAGCTGCTTCAGTCACCGGAGAAGGCACAGAGACTGTTCAGCCAGTAGAGGCGTCCACTGCATGCTGCCCACTCAGTAAGGTGAGCTGGAACCAGCAGAGGGAGACAGGCAGGATATTCACTTCCTGGTCCTCCCAAGCCCTGAGTGCAGACCGCAGGACTCCCCAAGTCCCCTCCCCAGTGCTCCGGGCTGCCGTGGATGTGAGCCTCTGGGAGACAGTACTTTTTAGGAAAGACTTGAGGCCTGATTACCTATGCCTATCACCCTTGCCTTACTGGGGCAGCTGCAAAAGTCTGGGAGCCTCAGCTCCTCAGAACCCTAACTTCACTCAGGGAAGACTGGTGGTAACTACACCTGCCTGCAGAGCTTGGAGGACAGGCTGGCTACTCACAGTGGCCAGCACCATCCAGCAGGAGCTGCTCCTAGCAAGCAGCAAGTGGCCTGCAGTGCTGGGGATTAGGAGAAAGCTTGTGAGGCACTTCCAGTCTTCCCAGGAGCCTCGGGGACAAACCCTGCCTGGCCTGAAAGAGGCACCTGAGCAGGGAGCCAAGCTACTTGCAGGAAAATGCTCCCCACACACCTTCACAGTCACTAGGACTTCTGTCCTTCCCAGTTCTGGGAGGGTGCCCTCCTCTTGGCTCCCATGCCCTCTCTGGCACAGACCACCAACCTGTAGCCTCCAGCCATGGTGGTCACAGCAGCTACAGTGGCCAGAAACCTATGTCTCCACACCTAGTGCTAAGGAGACCCTCCCAGGGCCATCCAGAGGCCCAGAGTCTGTACCTGGCCAGTGACCCAGGAAGGGTAAATGGCCCTGTCCCAGACAACTGTATAAGTCACACCCAAACAACACTTCTAGAAGACGGGGTCCTAGAATCTTGTGAACAACAAAAATGTTCTATCTGAGCTTCTCCTTCCTTTGGTCTCTTCCAGCAGGTGGTTCATCCACTAATGGACAAGGAAACTCCAGGGACACTATCCCAGGTCACATAGGCACTGTGGCCTTCCATGGACTCTGTACCACACCTTCCCCTGACTTGAGTTCTCCAGTTGAGACCTGGTTGCACCCCAGTGTGGGGGGAGGGTCACTCAGCCAGCCTGGCTCTGTGGACACAGGGCCATCATAGGTCAAGGTGATGACCACGAATATACCAGCACACCATCATGGGGACAGGCCAGCAGGGTCCAGGACTTGTTTCAGAAACAAGCCAAGGTTTTCCAAGGACACATAAGATGACTCCTGACAGTAAGAGCCAGCTCCTCCCCAGACAGGGCCAGAGAGGCGTGCCCCCACTGCAGACAGGGACACACCTTATGAAGAACATCAGTAACCCAGGGTGCCACTCACCCCCAGACAGACCAAGTGGCCCCTGCACTTCCTGAAGAGGCTCCTTCTGGCCATCCCCAACCCACCACACTGTGGCCAAGCTTCCCCACTCCACTCATCCTCCCTGCTGCAAAGCCAGCCCCAGAACTGAGGTCACACAGGCCCCCAAGGAGACATACAACCATTCACGGGGGGCAGCCCTATCTCCAGGCTTGACACTCCAGAAACAGATTTTTCAGGAGGTCCCACAGCAACAGGAGCCTGTGGGAACAGCTGCGAGTCAAGGGTGGCCCTGAACCTTGTGGTAGCTGAGAGGACCTTGCCTTAGTCATCACAAGCCAGGAGACCTCTGCAGGTACGGCCTGAGTGGGCTTTTCTGGCTGAGAGGCCGGGGTGCAAGCTCGGCTCTCGGTGTTTCTGCTGGGCAGGTTGGGTTTTAGCTGGTCAGACGCTGGAATGGGGCCCCACTTCGGGGCAAGTAAAGCCTCTCATCTCTGCTCCAGCCACCTCCTTGTGTGCCCAGAGCCACGGATGTTCCTGCCTGGCTGTGCTGCCCACAGTTGCCCCACTCTGTCCACAGGGCAGTCTGCGTTCTGCCTCTTAACAAGCCAAGTGTGCTGGGCCAAGAGAGACAAGCCTCCAGTGTTTGCACAATTCTAGGAAAATAAACAAGGAACTGTGGCTTTCCAGAGCTGCTCAGGGCAGTGGGGAAGTGACCCAGCACAGCTGAGGAGGCAGGTGCCTCTTGGGCTGAGCCCCATGCTTGAGGATCGTGGGCCACTCAGTACTGCCAGTGCCACCTGGTCTTTGCATCAGGATGTGAAACCTGGCGGGGGCTGCCTCAGGAAATCCAGAACCTACGTCCTGGAGGTGCCTGGGCCCCTCTGAGGCAATATGCTCACTCAGGCTGCACCACAGAGCCCCCTGAGGTCCATAGAGAGGCACCCTGGCTACAAGGTCAGCACCTCAGAGTCCCAGCAGCCAGAGGAACTGGACTTGCCCTCCACTTCCCCCCACTCCTGGCAATGAAGTGAACCAACTCTCACCAGCCTCCAACCTCTTCTTTACAATATGGCAACAATGTCCAAGAAGGTGTGGACATGGATAGGGAGCCAGAAGGGTCCAGGCCAGTGGTCCAACCCTTGCATGTGCTGAGGAGACCCCATCGGCTGCTGCCTGTCGAGTGGCCTCCGCAAGTCAGGTCTAAAAATCGGATTAGTCAGGAATGTGGGTGCCTTGGGGGAGACCAGGCCAACAGAGGCAGGTTCCATGGGGCAAGAGTCTCCAAAGCCACAATGGCAAGCCGTAGACGTGAGGTGCCAAGCGTCTCTAAATCACACCACCTCTCTCCAAACTGAACTGAAGAAAAGTCTAACTCCCCGCCTTCCTGCAGGGGAACAGCATGCCAGGGTTCAGCCGTGCACCAACGATCCCTTCCAGTACCTCCATGGTGGGGTGCAGCTTTCTCCAAAATACCCAGGACCCTAACTTCCAAGCCCTAGCCTGGGAAGGACTCAGAGGGTTTTCTCTGCTGTCTATAATAAAACAGAGAGTGGGGTGTAGCTCAGTGGTGGGGTGCTTGCCTCCCATGAATGAGGCCTTATGTTTGATCCCCAACACCACAAAAAAAAAAAAAAAAAAGACACGAAGCCCAAAAAGCTGAATTCAGGGAGGTGTCAGAGGTAAAATCCCCAAATCCTCACTGACTTCCTTACAGTGACAAACACAAAACAACTCATTTTACCAGCCTCTCGGAATATCCAAGAAGGAAACTGCCATTGTCCACCACCTTACCTCTGTATGCTGCCCAGCACAGACGACATGCTGACTTCAGGCCTCCAGCAAGGGTGGGCAAAAAAGGTCCAAGCGCCCTGAGGTTCAAACACCGGAGGTCAGTCGCGCTGCCTCTGGTGCCTGCCAGCTCTCGCTCTTAGCTCTCCAGGGCACAGGCCCAAGGCAGGGTGTGGCTGCTGTGCAGACCATGAACTTAAATCCCCAAGAAGCTCACCTGCTGGCTCAGGTGTGATGCCACGCCTTCTCCCCTCAACTCACAGGGCTTAGCTGTTCTGTTCTCAGGAAGAACTGGACCTTCTCCTGGACTCCGAGAAGAGCCTAGGGCTTGGCGGCTAGGCCTTTCCTCCTCCATCACCAGGCAGAGGGCCCTGGCAACAGAGGGGTCATCTGATAGGGCTTGCCTCACCAGGCTCCCACCTGCTCACTCTACCCACCCTCTGGGGCAAGTCCACCCAGCGCAGGCTTGAAGGGAGTTGTCCCCGCTTAAGATGGCCTGGTGGTCCCAGCTGGACCAGCAAAGGCTTCTGGATCCAGAGGCAAGGACAAAATGCTGTATCTAATCTTTGTGGTTTGAGAATCAGTGGATAGTGCCAGTGATGAGTACGGAAAATACAGGCTCACATGCCAGATGAGTTTTTTTTCTTAAAAACCTTGTTTTAGGGCTGGGGGAGTAGCTCAAGTGGTAGAGCATCTGCCTAGCGAGATGGGGTTTGAGTCCAGACCCTAGTACCTCAAAAAAAAAAAAAAGCTTGCTTACCTCTACTAAATGAAACCTATTTTTTAAAATCTTGGGATGGAAAAGTACTTTTGAGAGAGGACCCTGAAGTAGGAAATAAATACAAACATTTATCTACAGATTTTACTGTGTGAAAGTCTCTTTCTTTAGCAAGGAAATAAACAAATATTCTGAGATGAACAACAAACCACAGAAATGTTTGACCCCAAGAGTTAAGTCCAATTAGATAAGTTTCCTGCAAATTAAAAAAAAAAAAAATACCTTGCAGAACCATAGGTAGCACATGGCGGTCACCATTCACCGGTCCTGGCAGGCCCTGGTGTGGGCCTTGCTGGTCTCGGCCTGGGTACAAGTCATTCAATGCTGTCCTCCTCATGTGACTTTGGACATTGGTGTACTGGACACCTCTCAGACATGCTTGTAAAGTCCAGAGGCTGCCTTCCCACAATGGCCCTGTCCTCCATGACCACTGAGCACAAAAGCAGCCACCCTGGCCTGCACAGTGACATCCATGGACACATTCATGTCCCATTGTGGCTAATGAGGCAGGAGAAGGAGGGTGGGCTGGAGGCTCGGGGGAGAGAGCCTTGTGACCTCCCACCACCCAGAGGGAGACATGTGGACATGGGCTCCTGGAGATGCCCAGCCCAGCCTGACATCAGAGACGCTGAGCTGGGCAGGGTGAGACCCTCCCAGCAGGGAGCCACCGTCCACCAAGGGCCCAGCCTTCTGCATAGTTCCTGTCCAGCTCTCCAGAGTACCCCGATGCCTCACTGCACCCTTTATAGCCATCTACTCCAATGGGCCTGGTGCCCCAACCCTGGCCAGGCAGGCGTTATCCTCTGAGTTCAGTGCAGCCCCCTCTGTAGCCCCTAGAGCCCGATGCAGAGTCCAGCTGAGCAGCTCACCCATGCCAACAGCAGGCAGGCAGGCAGGCAGAGGGGCAGTAGTGCCGGCTCGGCTGTGTTGCTCTCCACCCAAGCACTTCCTTCACCCGCATTCCACCATGGCGTGTGTGGAGTGTGGGGGCTGCTCCACCTCTAGGGGAGGTGCTCTCCTACTCCTCCTACCCAGACCACACAGACTCAGCCCATAAACTGAACGGATCAGACTGAACCTGTGTATGTCCCCCAGAGCCACTCAGGTACCTCACCCGGCACACAATACCCATGGTGGGGCCAGCAGGTAGCAGTTTGCCCAAGACATGAGCTGTGAGGACCAGAAGTTGGTCCTCCCTCCCAGCTCCCCACATTCTGAGGCACTTACAGGAAGAGAGGTCCAGCTACCTTTGTAGTACTGGGGACAGATGGGACAGTTACAATGTGGTATGTCCACTACCAGGCCAGTTCAGAATGAGGTTCAGGGATGGATGTCCTGCTGGCCATAGGGAGGCAAGTCACTGTGACCCATGGGGCCCTGCCCAAAGGCTGGTGCGACTGAGGGTCTGGGGTGTGCAGGCCCACCCTGCGGGTACAGCAGGCCCTAGGGAGATAGTGAGTCAGAACACTAGAAAGTGCAGTGTTTGTCAGAGCAGATGCACGTCCTCCCCAGAAAGGACACAGAAATCTCCAGCTGGCTCTCACAGGCCTTTTTCTATGGGGGTTGGTTCCATGTGCCCAGACCAGCTCTTCCAGTGTGCTGGACACATGGCCTGGGCCCCATGGGGAGGAACACATCTCAGTCAGACCTGAAGCAAGCTGGGAAGAGAGCAGCCAGGGAGGCCAGGGAGGCCATCAGTTTGCTTCTCTGACTGTCATTGCCTGGCTGGCCAGTGACAAACTCTGCTCCTCCTCAAGCAGGAGTGACCAGAGCAGAACAAATGAAGGGTCACTTCTCAGCTTCTGGGTTTCAGATCCCAGCCCTGGGGTAAAGGGCTACCTGTCCGTGAGCAGCAGGTGAGGCAGCCATGGACCAGGGACAGCAGGAGCAACTTCCCTCCAGGGACCCTTTCCAGAGCATCCCTCACCAGCCCAGGATTCAGTGGGAGTCAGCAAGAGGACATGGCCAGCTGCCTGCCTGCCATAGTACTCTAAGACCCCAAGGGCCACACTTGTCCAGTGCTTTAAACACTGCCTGTCCCCAGGTCTCTGAGGTTTCACACCTCCCACCAATCACCCTGCATGTCTGTCCACCCTGTGCCCACTGTCCCAAGCACCCCACAGTCATAGAACCCAGAAGGTGGCTCTGGCCACCTCACACAGTACCCATAAACAAAGGAGGCATCATCTAACTTCCTGGGTCTCCATCCCATGAACACCTGTTTACATACCTGCTGGACCAGGGCCAGAAGGGAGGGATGCTCCCGTCCTGCAAACATGGGCAAGTCAGGAGCCAGGGAGACGACCACAGACCTGTCCACAGGGAACTGAGGCAGGCAAGCCTACCTGACCCAGGCCACATTCAGGCCTTGTGCAGCTCACATCCACACACGCTCAGGAGCTCCTCCTCACCCACTGCCCTGCAGCTGCTGTTCTAGAAACTTTCCAGCAGGGCACTGGACCCAAGGATTGAGCAGGAGCAGACATCTGTTGAAGGGTCATGACCCCTCTGGGCCCTGAGCCTTTGTGGGACCTGCTCTGGCCTGTCCTCCCCAGACCCCTGAGGTCAGAGGGGAAGTTCTGGGAGTCCTCCACAAGTGACAAGGGTCTGCCTGGGGACAGGACTGGGTGGAGGTGACAAGGGGCATTTGACCAGAGTGACTGGGGGCCATCCTGGGGAAGAGTTTTGCCACCTCAAGGCTGCTTGTGTTATGGCCCCCAGGAAAAGTGGTGGGTGGGCTCAGAGCTGGGATGTTCCTACAAGAGGGACTGTGCCAGGGCCCAGGTGTTGGAGTGCTCTCCAGGGATGGCCTCAGAACAGCACCACACTCTGCGGCTATTTGCTGTCTGCTTTCCTGTTAGTCCAGGGCACGGGCCTCTTTTTAATTCCTGTGGGTCACCAGAGGAGGCACAGCTACCAACTAGGTGGCTTGAGGGTCCCAGATGGTCAACAATGCAAAGGCACACTCTGGGGACACAGGCTCAGGGCAGGGGCAGCAGTGGCCACACAGGGCAACCATCCCAGGTAGGTGTGCCAGGCCGTGAGCACAGCTCCAGCAGTGTGGGGTCTCCAGGTCTACAGCCATCAATCAGATGCCCTGGGTCCTGACCCACCCCAAGGTAGCATGTGTCCTTCCATTTTCAGGAACTGGCTACCATAGAAGACGTCCACCTAAAGTTCCAGGCAGGGGCTACTCACCCCAGCCATATCTGGAGTGGGGGTAGAGAACAGCTTCCCCACTCTGCCCCCAGACTTCCTTAGGACTGAGACCACAGGTCACAGATCCCCCTACCTTCCTGGGCAGCTGCTAACCCTGGCTGGGGTTCCCCCACTCAGGACAATTGCCCCACCTGGGTTACACAAGGTGTCTCACATTGCACAGCTTTGAGGTGTAGATGGAATCCTAAGCTTCTAATCCACACACAATAGCGCCTCTCTGCCCGCACAGGGAGATTTCCTGTCTGGAGCCATGGGCAGTGGTCATGACTGGGACTGTCCTAGCCTCCCACAGAGGTTTGTCGAGACTGACTGTTGCTCTTACCTCTTTCTGTGCTAACTGCAGGTGTTCTGGGAGCCTGAGGCATGTGGTTTCCAAAACTGAGGGATCAACTTCAAATCTTTGACGTACACCTGACCAGCAACCACTGGGGAGTCTGTCTCCTGTGCACTGTGGCAGTGAATTTGGGGTGTTTTCACATGGTTCCTCTCCCCAGTGGCACCTGTCGTCTGGGTCGGTTAGCAATCTGAGAGGCAAGTCATCTACCCTAAAACACAGGTTTTGTCATTTTCCTACTGGTTCTAACAGGTTTTTCCGGCTCCCTATCATGGAGTGAGCAAAGTTTGGTCAAAGCCAACAGACTTTGGGAAGCCAGGTTTCCTGTCACACACTGCTCTGCCGGCTGTGCTGTACTCATTGGCTCTTAGCTGTCATCGACTTCGAGATGTGCCACCACTTAAAAGGCACAAAGAAAAGCGAATGAGTCTGAAAAGCACCCATCCCTCAGGGAAGGATGTCCCAGAAATGAGCCAGTGCTCAGCAGGCACAGGAGGGGAAACAGCAGGGCCCCCTTGGCCACTGTGAGCTCCAGGAACTGATGCCGGGCAGCCAGCAAGGGCGAGGGTAAGGTTGGCATTAGTAGGAAGTGTCTGGCACACACCTCTTCTTCAGCCCCATGGTTATTACACCTCCTTGAGGCAGGCTACCGAGCTAGGCAGTAGCAGCCTCTTCCTCCTCCAATACTCCTGGGACTACAGCCACTTCCCAACCCATGTGCCAAGGCCATGGCAAGGATCCAGAGGACCCTTTACCCTTGTCAGGCACCCACCAGCTGGGTGCCTGGGGTGAGACCAACCCAGGCAGGTGTTCAGCCAGACCCTGCAACCCCACAGCCTCTGTGCTGAGCCAGATCTCCAAAATCCTGCACTTCATACTGCTGTCCTGCTGGCCTCTCCTGACACTGGACTCAGTGTGGAGATCATGGCTGGGGCTGATGGGCCCCTCCAGGGAGGCAATAGGCAGTCTGAGATGAGCTAGAGCTGGCTGCATGAGGGGCTATGCAGCATCCAACACCCCCTCCCCAAGAGCTGCCTGCAGGGCAGAGCTGGGCAGACAAAGCCCCCACAGTTGGCAGGGTCAGCAACCCTCCCTGGCCTGCTGGCTGCTCAAATTCCTGATCAACAGGAAACATGGGCCTTAGGAAGAGCCAGAAGAGAATCAAGTGGGCAAGAGGCTGGCCAGAGGCCAGAAGAGACAGAGACATGCTGTCAGGGATTATGTCAGGTTCTGTCCCATAAATGTACACCACAAGACTGCCCATGGGGATCCAGCTGGTATAGTGGGACAATGACCGTGGCCATAGAGGTCTGAGCCAACTAGCCAGCAGGAGGAGCAGCCCGAGGAGGTGCTCAGACGTCCTGACATATCCACCTGCTGGATCAGTGCCAAGGGCTTGAAACCAACCCTTGACTCACGCCCTACAACTGTGCCAGGGCCAAGACCCTCTCCAGGACAATACCTACTTCCATTAAGACATGACCCATCCGTAGTCAGAGGGCCCTGGCCAGGCCAGTGGCCTCTGATGGATGGCAAGGGGTTGTTTCTTCCTTAGAGCAGGTTCCCTCAAGGCTTCAACATCATAGGACAGGGGAGGGACCCTTGGATCCACCCCAGTTAGGCACAGCAGCTGGCAGCTGAGGGCTTCCAGAGCCACCTGAGTGGCCCTAGAAGCTAACCTCCTTCATAGGACAGGGTATGAGGACAGGGTATGAGGAAAGGGGACAACCACATCTGACAGTGACAGTATCAGGCCCTGGGTCCCCTGACAACAAACACCTGGGTACGGAAGGATGTGAAGTGCTAGCACTTCATGACGGACTTTTACAAGATTAATTTTCTAGTTAAAGAAGCAAAAAGAAGGTTGTGGTTAACTCACATTTTTACTGGAAGTTCATTTCAGTCACAAAAAGAAAACGTGTGTCTAACCTCCCAGGCTGTCAGGGACCACAGGTAAAGAGGGCACCCTCACCTGGAGCAGACAGGACGGGTGGTGTGCAGCCCCTGCACAGGCCTGAGAGTCAGTCACTCACTGTGGCACAGGACCTTCCCCTAGGAGCAGATCCAGAAGGGCTGAGCTCAGCAGCCATCATAGCCCATACTGCCTGCCCACTATTCTGCCCAGACAGGCCTGCCAGAACAGACAAATGGCACAGTCCTGTACTCTGCTCTTGACAAACCACAGTCACCAATCCAAGACCTCCTCAGTCTTATAACCAGATTCCATTCAGTGCTCTGGGTCATTATGGTAACTGACCCATGGTTGTGGTCACACATCCCATGGTGATCCAGCAGCAGGACCACATAGCATCCCTCCAAAGACTGGGCAAACAAGATAGGTCCCCAGGGGCCACCACGGAACAGATGTGGCCTGGCCTGATTTGGAGTGTGGAAGCTGACCATCCATCTGGCCTGTCCGGGATGAGCCAGCAGAAGCAAAGGGAGAACGAACAGAACAGGAACACAGCCAGGAGAGTCCTGCATCCTGGACCTGCAGAGCTGCCTCCTGACCCTTCTGTTAGGGGACTGTTACCTTGCCTCCATTAGCTGGGAGGCCTCTAGGCCCACCTACCCTGGTGCCCAAGGCCCCTGGTGCACCATGGCAGCAGGCAGATGGCTGCAGTCAGGCCCGTGTGGGCAGTGTCTTGTAGGGGTTCAGGATGCCCTTGGGGTCCAGCAGGGCCTTGAGCTGCTGCATGAGCTGCACAGCCATGGGCGGCTTGCTATAGCCTAGGACATCCCTCTTCTTAAAGCCCAGGCCATGCTCAGCACTGACGCTACCCTGCTGTTCAGCTGTCCAGGCATACACATAGGGTTCCAGGGCTCCCAGCAGCGCCTCACTGAAGGACTCTGCTGTGACATTCAGGTGCAGGTTGCCGTCTCCTGGGGACAAGGGCATGTGGTTAGGCTCAAAAGCCCCAGATACCCTGCCTAAACAGGCCTCCCAGGCTCCCCTCCTAGACTCCTCGGCTGTGCCCCTCACTGCCTAGTGACTGCCCCCCCCTTCTGTCCTGGCTCTGCCAGCCCTTCCCCCTCCCTTGCACCGCCCCCTCCCTGGGACCACTGGGCCCTTGCCTTCTGTGGCTTCTCTCTCAAGTCTTCCCCAACCCCCACCTCTCTCACCTCCTTGCTCCCTCCTGCATGTCCTCACCACTGCCAAGAAGGCCAGACTAGGGCTCCCATCTCCCAACAGTGACCCTCCAAGTGACCACCTGTCCCCTGCCTGTGCTCTCACCCTTGACTGAGTCTCTGAGTTTGTTCCCAGGACCTGAACATATTGGAAGGTCTCCAAGGTCACCCCAGGCAGCTCTACCTGAATGCCCCAGAACATTTCTGCCAAGGCTGCCCAGTTAGCTCACCCCACTTCCAGCAATCCCAGCTGCCACTTCTCTGTTCCACTTGCCACCCTCTTCCTTCCACTGCTCTCTGGTCCCCATGTCCCCATGCTGAGATCCCAGGGCTCTGACCCTGGCTCACAATTCACACATACCTCTCCATTGAGAGAGGAAACAATGACTGGCAAAATGAAAGTCATGACAACAAACACAGGTTAGCCCAGGTCAATGGGCAAGAGACCATGATGGCTTAGCTCTCATTAAAAGACAATGATTGGCCAGACACCGTGGCTCACACCTGTAACTCTAGCTACTCAGGAGGCAGAGATCAAGAGGATTACGACTGGAAGCTAGTGTGAAACCCTATCCCAAAAATACCCAACACAAAAAAAGGGCTGGTGGAGTGGCTCCAGGTGTAGGTCCTGAGTTCAATACCAATACCACAAAAAAAAAAAGGGACGGTCATTTCCCCGCCCACATCACTGTGGCATGGGATGGCAGCTGTCCTGGGCCAGACAACTTTGAAGACTCTGTCCTTCCCATCCGCAAAGCCAGCTGCTGGCTCTCTGTCCCGTGAGGTGCAGCTCCACCCCTACACCCCATCTCTTTCATATGGACTCTTCTCCCAATTTGCCATGTATAGGGTAGCTCTCCCAGCGGTGCCCTCACCAGGCAGGGCAATCCTGAACAGGCTACTTACCATCTAAGTCTGTCTGCCACCTGTGAAATGCAGTGACAGCACCCTCAACTGTCTCCCCACCCAGGTTTAGATGGCACCCAGACAGGGCACCACCATGAACCAAGCACTGTACCCTTCCTTCAACCCTCCCATACCTATGCAAGGTGGCTCTGACCCCCATCTTTCAGCACTTCAGGCAAGTGACCCCCAGTCCCCTGGGCCAGACAGGAAGCCAGCAGAAGCACCATGCCCTGGGGTCGCAAGCCAGCCCCACCCCAACACACCCACTGCAAAAGAGGTTTTGGGATGCTGATGCTCTTCACCAAAAGTGCCAGGAGCTGAGAGGGACAAACACTTCCTTCCTGTGAATTATCAACCATGACCCGAGCAAGATTGTCCTGCCCTACCCAAAAATGATCTGAAACTGGCTTTGAAATCCCTCAGTCTGAAGAAGTAGGCTGGTGAGAGCTACTCACCAAACACTAGAAAAGCTAGAAGAGGCCTGCACCTCCCACCTGTGCAGGCCTGGCTGCAGAAACTGTCACCGCCAACCAGCACAGCTGGCAAAGCAGTGGCAGAATGACATGCTGCTCACCCAGGTGCCCGTAGCCGACCACGTGCTTGGCACGTAGGCCAAGGCGGGAGCGCAGGTCTATCACAAGGTCGTACAGCCGCTCCACAGGGAGAGAGAGGTCATACTTGTACACGTAGCCATCATGGCTCAGGGCCTCTGTGATCCTCTCCCGCAGGGCCCACAGTGCCTGGGGGGGGAGGGGGAGGAAAAGACGGTCAGAATGCCCCATAACGGGACTCCTATGCAATGGTCACTGTGACAGTACAGCATTAGTCTGGGGTGGCAGGCATGTCCAGGTCTTCCCAGAGGTGTGCAGCTTCGATCCCAAGATGGATACAGGACCAGGATCAGGCCACTGGCTCCAAGGCAGCACTAAGCATTGTAGGGCCCTCAGCTGGGAAGCACTGGGCAGCAATGGCCCTTCCCAGCAGAGGAAACAGTCATCAAGGACGGACACAGAGCATGTGGCATAGCCTCAGGTACCACTGCACATATGGCTGGTGGGGCTGCTGCCTGGGAGAGGGGCCCTGGGCATGGCTGAGCCAAGGCAGGGACAGGCAGAGCAGCAGGCAGACAGGCTGGATGAGCAGGTTCTTGAACTACTGGAGGGGCCTGGAGGGAGGTTAGGGATGGACAGTCAGAGGACTGGGGGCTGGAACAGGAAAACTGAGGCACAGCAGGCATATGGGGGGCCCAGGAGAGGCCAGGCAGGAAGTGGATCATTCATAGTTTACTTGGCTTTCATTTGCTTTGGAAATCTGAAGCCCTCAAAAAGGATGGAATCCCATCTCTCCACGCCACTGTCCTGCTGCACTGTGCACCCAGACTTTGACCCCTGTGCCGTACCACTGCAGAGACCCCATCATTTCAGGGAACATAGCAAGTAAAATTTCTAAAGGATAAGGACTTTTTTTTTTAAGGTAACTGTAATGCATGCCTAAAACCCTAAAGAATAAACAGCAGTCCCTCATCACCTGGAACCAGATTTCCCCAATGCTCTCATCAACTTTCACAGCCAGTTTGGTCACACCTGACACAGACAAACCCAGCCTGGGAGGAGCTGCTGACAGACTGCCACCCAGGGGCTTCTCCACCTCAGCACCACACTGCCCTCTGTTCGTTCCTGCAGCCAGGAGACCTGCTCTCTCTACCAAACCCCCCACCCTCTGCTCCAGTTCCTCCCCTCTGGAACATTCTAGAACATGAAGGCACCTGCCCACCCCACCTGTGCTGTCTCCCTCCAGGACCTCACTCCTTGAAAGGTGTCATGACCCAGGTGCTAATCGAACTGTGAGCTTTTGAGCACAGAGTTTGTGGTTCTGATCACTGTTATATGCTTGGTTCACGCAGGGCAAGGAAACATCCAGCAGGCAGTGGTGACAATGGGCATGTGCAGGACAGACATGGGGCACCAACCAGCCCTGCTGTGACCACAGCTCAGAGAAGCTGGGGCATCTGCTGTGCGCCTCCAACTGGGTGAAGGGCAGGGCTGGACTGGGCAGGACATAGGGTGCCTTCCTTCAACACATGACACCTGTGGTGCCTTTGGACACTTGCAAGGCCACCGTCTATGACAGGCCAGAAAACTTAGAGCTTCTGAAGGGAAAAATCTATGAAAACCCAGAAAATGGGCTGGCAAAGCATCTCGCCAGGGCCTCATTCAACATGAGAAGAAGCAGAGAGATGCCTTCAAGACCCCCATCTTCATGCCACAAATGCCCACGTCCAAGTCACTGAGCTGCAAATCCAAGAAAGGGCATTTTCACCCTGTGCAAAGACAACTCCAACCATGCACCAGCAGCAGCGTGAGTATGGAGACCTCCAGCCTCTTCCGACCTTTTCTAGGAAGCCCTGGGAGGACCTGGAAGAGACGTGAAGAGGGCACAGGGCCTGAGGCCCAGGGCTCACGGGAGCCTGGAGGCTAAGAACTAGAGTGGACACCAGCGGACATTCCTGCATCAGCTGTAAAAGCCAAGAGTCCGGGCTGGAGGAAGACATGGAGGAGATGAGGGCAGATGCCCAGGGAAAGAAACAGACTGTGCAGGGCCGTGAATGCTGTGGGCAGCCGTATGGCACATGGGGCAGGCACACTCCCACCCACCCCCGCAAGCGATACAGGACATTTGACAACTCCTGCAGCTTGCTCTGACCAGCAGTTGCTCCTGCAGAACCTCAGGCCCCCAAATCCTTCACTCTTCAAGAGTAGAAGGTCAAGCTAGAGGCAGCTGCCACAGCCAGGTCCTCAAAAAAGAAAGCAGATAGTGCAGAGCTGCAGCACACAGTGGCCCCAATGCATGACAAGGGAGAAATGCACCGTAGCTCTGGGGGCCCTGATGCCTAGGCACTGTGCATCACTGCAACATGATCTACCAGGGTGGGTGAGAACAATACTCAGGGGACATGGGAACCTGGGGGATGCACAGGGCAGCATGCCCCTTGGCTGGGCTCAGACAGACTTGCAGTGCTGGACAAGAGACTGACTGACCAGCACCAATCATTCACTGATCACACAGGCTCCCTGGGGAATACCTAGGACCCACAGTGAGTAATCAACACCTCTGCCCCTGGGAGCAGATATGGTGTCACCCCTAAAAGTGAAATCATGTCAGGATGTGGAAAGTTGAGGCTAGAAGCTGGTAAAGAGCACCTGCCACCATGAGCTCTGAAATCTACCAATCCAGGACGAGCTCATGCCACAGACAGAAAGCCTTTGGTACAAGGTAATTTTTGTGAGTAATAATTCATAAGCATAAAAATTAATTATGGCTCACGCCTATAATCCCAGCTACTTGGAAGGCTGAGATTGGAAGGAGTAAGGTCTGAGGCCAGCCCAGCCAAATAGTTCATGAGACCACATCTCCAAAATAAGCAGAGCAAAATGGCCTGGAGATGTGGCTCAAGCAGCAGAGCACCTGCTTTGCAAGTGCAAAGCCCAGTCCCACAGAAAAAAATAATAATTACAAATAAAAAGGAAAGGGAAGAAAGTTGAACAGGCTGATGTGGCTTCACACTCCAATCCACCTCTCTTCCCGCCTCTTTTGGCAGACAGCCAAACCCAGAGAGTCTCCAAAACAAACCCCTAGCCTTTGAGGTCCAGAGCCCAGGCTGCTCCCTGCTGCCTGCCTGCCCCCTGCTGGCCACTCACCATCCTGCAGCCAGTGGGACCAAGGTGGGAAACAGGAAGAGGACAGCTCCCCACTGCCAGAGCCAATGAAGGTGACCAACAGCTCCCACTGCCCCAGGGCCTTCTCCTACTCCTTTGCCTCCTAGAGGCCAAATCATTTCCTGGTCTTAAAGCAAATGCCCTTTCCTCTGGACACTGTCCTCCCCAGGGCTCACCGGGCTCCAGGGCTCACAGGAACAGCTCTTTCTGCCTCCACACTTGCAAGAAATCTGTGACGGCAGCTGGCTCTTTAGCCACATGCAGCTGTGCTTACCTGGTAGCTTTGGGTTGGGGGACATATAGGGGATATTTTAAATTACTGATGAAAACGATCATTTTTTACCCCAAAGTTGTTTGCTACCCAAGTCATGAAACCTGGTCACGTTCTGGCCACACACCGTCTTTTGCTGGACAGATTATGCCCTCCGGATGCCTGAGCTGAGAATGGGAGGGAAAGAGGGAGGACCTCGAACAATGCAAGAGCACCTGGATTTTCCTCTGGTCCGTGGCTACGGTGCCATCAGTCACTAGGCCAGAACCCAGCCCCTGTTCCAGGAAGCTGTCCAGCTTCTCAGCGTCATGTCCTGCACTAGAGCCCGAGGTCTCAACCAGGATGTAGAAGGGACTCTCTGGAAGGGAGCAGAGAGGCAAAATGAGCACAGGTTCAGAGTGTCATGTCCACAGTCAGACTTGCTCAGGGTCACATGGGTAGTCAGCTCTGATGCTGGTGAGGCCTGGGCAGCCTGTGGAGGAGGAGGCAGCTCTCTGGCTAGGCCAAATTTTAGATGGTTTAAATATAAGCCTTTTACTGTCAGAGAAACCAAACTCCCTGGAAAACAAACAGACCCCAAGGGTGACTCCGTGAAGGTGCTCACCCTCAGCCTCACGGCAGGGCCAGCTGGGGACCTCCCACTGGCCCATGGTGAGATGGGGATGCTACCACAGGGCAACTGTGGCTCTCACCACTGACTCATCCACTCTTACCAAACCCCAGGGGCCTGGGGAGAGGCTACTTGTGTGTAGATGTCCTATTGTGGCCTCGACCACTGGACTGCTGCGTAAACTTTTTAAAAAACTCAAATATGCATTGCTATTTAGGAAAATTTTAACGTGAATTTTTTTAAGGTTATCGTGAATTTTGCTTTATATTTACTGAAATCAGTAAGTGGGAATTTACTGAGTGACCCTATTCCATCCCTTAACATATTCAGGCCTCTTCCAGTCCACCCTACAAGAGACAGGATACAAATGCTAAGGACAAGTTTCCTATACATGATGCCCAGTGGCCACAAAGCACTCCAGCCAGAGACCCTGCACCTGCTGGGACCTCTGAGCTATCCACCAAGCCCCGTAAGGAAAAGGAGCACGGTGGGGTTTGTCCAACTACACGGGGTTGGTACCTTGCACTGGTCTGGCCAGGTGGAGGTGCTGCCCGACCAGCTGCATGCACTCAGCATCCATGAACTCAAACGCAGACAGGATCTCCCCCAGCATCCCCTTGCAGGTGCTGAAGGTCTGCAAAACCTCAGCAAAGCCTGGACAACCTGCAATGGGTCACAGTGTTTAGGTGCCACGAGCAAAAGGACAGCAGTATCGAGAGCCTCCCCCACAGCCTGGCCAGGTCCCCCTTCAAAGTGACGACACCAACCTGACTTGCATGGACAGATGAGCTGGGCAACTGCAAGGAACAAAATGCCTGTTGCTACAGGAAACTCACCCAGGTTGGCCTACAAGTACATCTCAAGGTCACCCAGGGTCAGATTTGTATAGAAAATGTGCCTGAGAACTGTGATGTGACACTGAGAATGGCAGCAGAAATCAGAGGCGCACATCTTGAGAACGCCTGTAAGGGGCTGGCAGAGTGGTTCAAGTGGTAAAGCTCCTGCCTAGCAAGTATGAGGCCCTGAGTTCAAACCCCAGTACCAAAAAAACAAGTAAGTACACGAGTGAATGAATGAACAAATGAATAAAGAAAGTCTGTAAGTGCAGGACAAGAGACAGACAGCCTCTGGAAACAGCCTGATTCTCTCAACACAGTCAGTACTCAGGCTGCATCTGCTCCAGAAATTCATCCTACACACCCGAAGTCTGCACTGCTCTAGGGCTGGGGAGCAACCAGCGTAGGCCTGGGGAGGTGACCGTTAGGTGCAGACGCAGAAAGGACCTGAATGGACGTGCTTGCCAATAGGTGGCTCCAGAGACCCTCCAATGGGAGGTGAACATGCTCAGACTTCACAGGAAAGACTGGTGCCACCTGGCAAAGCCACCTGCAAACCCTCAGGAGGAAAGCACCTTTGACCTCTGGGAGCTCCACAAACAATTCTTTAGGGACAATGAGATGCACACTGCCCAAGACAGCCAAGCACAAGGGGTACCAGGTGCCACGAGCAAGAACCAGTGGACCTCAACTACAGGAAATGGCCACAAGTGGACTTACAAGGAAGGAAATCCCAAACGGAACATGTGATGCCTGATGCAAGAGATGAAGAGTGAGAAAATGGCCATAAAATAAAGGTAATTATGATGACAGAGATGTTAAAAAGACAGAATTAAGATACATGACAAGAGGTACTTGGGAGGGGATCGACAGACCTGGAATCTCCTCCAAGATTCCTGCACCTCACAGCAGCACAGACATGAACTGAATCAGATCCAGTGAGTTGGGCTGGCAGAGTGGCTCAAGTGGTAGAGTGCCTGCTAGCAAATGTGAGGTCCTGAGTTCAAACCCCAGTACCACCAAAAAAAAAAAGGAATCTGTTGTGTTAAATGCACCTGTTGTACTCTCCGGAAGACCGTGATCTGTAACTTCTGAATTTGGCTGAGGAAGAAATGCTGGCTAACCACCCAATTCGGAAGAAGCAGGAAAGAAGAAAGGGACCATGGGAGCCCTGGTGTGGAGGTGCTACACAAGAGGTGTGGCAAGCCAGTGATCGGGAAACCAGGACCCATGTCTCCTGTGAGGATACTAACTGTCCCCCTGGACTCTACATAAGACATCATTTCCCTCAGAATCACACAACTACATGCTCCTTAAATCGGAGCACAGTGGGGTAAAAGAGGACCAGAATCCCAGTTTTGTTATGGAGTAACAGACACAGGAATCGCTGCTGGTTCCAGACTGCACTCTGTGGACATCTGGAGGACCAGGTCCTGGATTCCTGAACACTATGGGATCAGGGAAGCCAGAAGAAACAGGCTCCTTGGACCAACCACAGCTCAGCCAAGGGAACTGGGCTCAGAGCAGCTGCCTGCTCGCCTACCAGCCAACCGTGAAGTGGGATGAGGAGCCTACCGAGAAAAGCCACATTCACAGCCTTGGGTCTGGGCGAGCACAAGATGGACACGGCGGTGATGACCCCCAGGGTGCCCTCGGACCCAATGAACAGCTGCTTCAGGTCATAGCCCGTGTTGTCCTTCCGCAGGGAGGTCAGGCAGTTCAGGACGGTGCCGTCGGCAAGCACCTATCAGGAAGGCAGATAGAGGCCTTTCTGCAGTAACCAAAGTTCCGGTCGGTGACCCTGTGGTTTCCTGCATCTGCCCCTCCCCTTTCTCCTCTCTCACACTACACTCAGGGGAAGCTAACCCAACTCTAGGACACCAAGAAAGCCATCAGCCATGAGCCCCCACCTGCCTACCCCCATCTGGATAGGGAATGAAGTAAGTTGGGGTAGAATGGAGTGGGATGGGGCCTGAAATTGCCTAACTAGACTGAAGGGAAGACTTTCCTTCCTGATTGGACGATTCCTGCAACCTCATCACACAACCAGGAAGCTCACTGCTTGGCTGCTGGAGGGAAACCTGTCCCAGGCAGGGAACACAGCTAGGGGAGCACAGCTGAGGGAGCAGGGAGCATGGCTAGGGAAGTGGGGAGCACAGCTGGTGGAGGACAGGTAAGGGAGCACAGCTGGGAGAATTAGGGAGCACAGATGGGGGAATTGGGGAGCACAGCTGAAGGAGTGGGGAGCACGGATGGAGATAGCTATGAGAACAGCAGAGAACTGCACTGCTCTGGTCTCCCTGTTTCTGGGCCCACAGCCACAGAGGCATCATGGTTCCTATGCTGCACGCCTGCATGAGTCTTGCTGGCTGGCACTTGAAGTCAAGGTTTACAGAACTGTTTGGGAAACTGAGAAAGCAACCTGCAGTAAAAATAAGCAGCAGCCAGCCAGAAAACAAAGCCACTGAGATGCTGTGACTTAGCGAATGAAACATGGCTTTGTATTTGCTCTGTCACATGGATAAACAGAACAAAAGGACCTTTCCTTTAGCAACCATGAACCATTCAGGGTTGGTGGGGGTTCCAGGAAATGGACTCTAAGTGTTCTGGAGGGGAAGCTGGTATGACTCCACACCAAATTAGCCTCAGCTGACCTTCCTTCACGCTCCAGCTCCTAGAAGGCTGCCCAGGTGGAACATTACTGTGTGAATGAAGTGTCCCCTAGAAGCTCCTCGTGTGGAACAGGAGGCAGTGGAAGCCCCATCAGATGCATCAGTACATCTGTGGGAAGGGCCTGGCAGGGTGCTATATGCAATGACACACCCTCAGGGGCCCACAGCCAGGGACATCTCTGGCTGACATGCCCGACCCACCAGGGTGGTCTTATACACCTGTACCAAATGCCCAGGGAATGCGACACCAGCCCCAAACGGGAGCCAGGACTCCCACGGAGAGCACTCTGCTGGCACCCAGCTCACCACTTCCAAGCCCAGAACAGTCCCACGCAGAGAGCCGTATCTCAGAAACCGCAGACCGCCAGCGTTGGTTGCCACATTCCCTCCAATGTGGCAGCTGCCCTTTGCTCCCAAGTCCAGTGGTATGATGAAGTCGCGCTCCTGCACATACTGGCTCAGCTCCTCCAGCACACACCCTGCCTGGCAGACCAGAGCTCCTGCAGAGCAACCCATGCAAACATGACTCACAGACCCCATGTGTGTCACTTCTGGCACTCACACACCTCCAGGAAGGGCTGCCATGGCCAGAAAGTCAGTGCAAAGGGAAAGGAGGGACAAGCACACATAGCACAAGCCATCCCAGTGACTCCTTGGCAACATGTCCAGAGGGTCCAGGTGTGGTGGGCTGTGCAGCCAAACTGCAGCTGATTCTTTCCCAGGAAGGGTCCCACGTGCGTATGTACACGGACACATGCACACATGTGCAGGACAACCACAACTGGCACCAGGAGGGCACCGGTGCCCCAGGCCCAGCAGGCGGCACAAGCTTACCCGACACTCGATGGAAGCTGATGACCTGGTTCATGAGGGCAGTGGACAGGACGATCTCATCAAAGACAGGGACACTGGCCCCCACCATGCCTGTGTTCCCGCCCTGCGGGGTCACGGCCAGGTTCCTCTCATGGCAGTGCCTAGGACAAGTGCAGAAGGGACATCAAGCCAGTGTCCCCATTCTCACTCCACTGTCCCCCAACCTGACCCCATTTTTAGACCTTCCCATTGGCCAGCCAGGCCACCTGTTGCCCGCAGCCTCAGGCGGGGCTCCTCACAGCCATACTGAGGGATTCTGAGGAAAGCAGAGTCCACCCACCCCAAAGCCGTGCACAGACGGAGGGAGTCTGAGGCTGTCTGCAGATCACAGGTGAGGCGGCAGATGCAGCCTCAGAGGCCTCACCTCTTAAGTTCGGGAAGTCTTCACAGAGCTGGCAAAGGTCAGAACACCACCCCACAACCCACTGCCCTCACTCCCTTTAATCCCACTGTAGCTGAGAACAGAGTCCCTGGCCGACCTGTCCTCACACTACAGATGAAGCCTCCTCCCTGGCTAGGGACTGTGGTGGCTCAAGATCTGAAGAAAGGGATGCTCCATCCGCAGGGCAGTCAACCCACAAGCACCAAGTGATCCCAGTGGCAGAAGCCGCAGGGATGTTCTAACTGGACAGTGTGAATGGGCTCTGAGCGCACCTGACTGGGACAAGTTCAACTGCAGACCAGGGTTACCTGAGAATGCGGGACACCTCCTCTGAGGTCTGGGGCCGAAGCAGCACCTTGCTACAGCCTGTGACAAAGAAGAGTCATGTCAGCCAGCACGGAGGACAGACATGCTGCCCCCCAGCCCACCCAAAAGAAGGTTCTCTCCAGCATATTCTCTTCCTCAGTGCGGTGACCCGCACAGCCACACTATCAGGCCCACAAACACTCAAGGACAGAGCAAGACGCTGAAGTCCTCGGGATCCACGCTGGGGAGGGGCATTCTGGCTGCTGGGCCTGGGTGCAGCAGTCAGTAGGCACCAACAGTGCAGGCTACCATGTCCGCCTTTGTGTTAGAGGGGAAGGTAGCTCAGACCCCATGGTATGGGGATGTGTGCTGGGCTTCTGCAGTGACAGTCCCCTTTGGGACTCTGTGAGGATCCTGGCACTCCTCAATCATTGCTGACTGGCACTGTTAGTCCTGCTGGAACCAGTTAGACAATGGCTGCCAAGTGGGGACTTTCAAATGCATCCATCTGCCTTACATTCCCTGTAAGGACCTTCCTTCCCTGGCTCCTAGTGGTAATTTACACAGCTCTTCTCACATCAGGCAGGCTTCCTTCAACTCTCTGGCTTACAATTCTTTGCTGCCTTTATCTATCTGATACCAAGATGTGGCAGGTGGGAGCCCCTCTAAGCTCTGGGCAGCACTGGTAACCCGCCACCCAGGATGGTCATTCTTTCTGTCCTCTCAACTTCTCTGAGGACCCAAGATGGTGGAGGATGTAGGAGGCAGCAGGATACCTGGGAGTGCTCAGAGACCCTCTGTCCTCACTGCGCTGATCAAAACTCAGGCTCTACACAGGTCCTGGGCTATTTTGTGGTTCTAAAAGATACTTTGCTTTTCACAAATACCTTTTGCTAAATGGACTGGCTGTCCTACCTTGGAGACTCTGGTCACTCCGGCTGCACTCATGGTGCTCTACCATCCCAAGGAAGTGTGGAACTGTGAGCCCTACTGGCCCGGTGAGCGGAAACCCTCCTCCTGTGTTCACAAGGTTTCTCAACAGACATCTGAGAGCCCACCCAAGGGTCTGCCACAGTATAGGCTGAGAATAAAATCAGACAGATCTCCCACTCTTGTGTCACGGACCTTCTAACTAAAAGGCAATAAAATGAGGATCAACCCAATGCTCCGGTGTGCTAATAACACAGGATCCACAAAAACAACAGGGGGCCAGGAAATAGGACCAGCAAGACTTAATGAGGAAATGCCCAAAACCAAGGAAAAGGACTCCCAGGAAAAGCCCCAGCCAGGCTAGGGAAGGGACCAAAAGGAAGACTGCCTGGACCAGTGTCAGGACACTCCTCCTCTGCACCTGCGCCTTCCCACACCTCACACATTTCTGGGCAGACACTGTTCTCACATCCTGCCTGCCTCTGGGCTTAGCAACAATGAAAAGGCACCCCCTCCCCCACCCCATCCCCAGAGAAGCAGCTTGCACTGCCACCCAAGTTCTGGAGCAGCAGGTCTCATGCTCCTGAGCTCCACCATCTTCCTTTGGTTTTTGCTTCCCCTGTAGCCCTTCAAGGGTACTGCTCCTCTCCTGCTTGCCAGGCACTCCAGGGCTTGGGGTATGGTAGATACCCTCCTTGCCCGACTCTCCTGGGGTCTCTACCTGAAAAGCCACCACCAGACTACACCACCACTCATGTGTCTCAAGCCTGGCTACCATCCCAGCCCATCACTCCCCAGCTCTCCTGGTGAACTTGGGATTTCAGTATCCACCCATATCAGGGCCAAATCTAGCTTGCTTCCTGTTTTTGTAAATAAAGTTTTATGGAAATACAGTCATGTCCATAAACTGGCAGTCCATGGCTGCCAGTACCCCTCCACATCTCTGAAAACCTGTCTCTACACCCACCACCACTGCCTTCCCTCCAGCTGCTGAGGCCCCTCCACCTCCCAGGCCCTCAGTGGTATGGCCTGCCACTCATACTACCCACTGCTCATTGCCTTATCATTCTTCTCTCTCAACCAACCATCCTATCAACTCCACAAACATGCTGCAACACTCTCATCCCGGACTGAAACATGAAAAGAAACCTCTGGGCCCCGGCTCCCTGCAAGAGCCCCACCTTCCACTCCTCTGGACTGCATGCTCCTCTGTGAGACTCCCAAGTGCACATCCCCACATTCCATACCCCTAGTCAATTCCAGTGGTGTATTTGTCCTCCATCAAGGTCACCATTGATGCCCATGGTTCTCAGTTGTCTTACCTGGTTCAGCAGCCACACCTGACAAGTTGTCCCTTCCCTCTCCCCCCGGAGCCTTCCTCCACTGGCTGCTGGAGCTTGCTCCCATGGCTCTCCTACCCCTTGGCCTGGCCTGCTCCAACCCTTGGCTGGTTCCTTCTCTCTACCATGATCATCCAATCTTGGGGCATTGGGCTCCAGTGTGGCCCCTGGCCTGGACTCCAGGCTGGCCTGCATCCATTTTGACAGGTCCAAACCCAAACTCCTGGTTTTCCCAGCAGGCCTGCTGTTCTGTACACCATTAACCAGCAGAGACCCACGGTTTCCATGGTCCACATTGTTGCTTCTCTTTCTCTCCTGCATAGACCTTCAACAAATCCTAAAGTCCACCCCTTCTAATCTCTATGGAATCTGGCCATGTCTTACACCTCTGACCACTGGCTAGACCCTCTTCCCATCACATTCTTCTCCCAAGGCCCCAGACTTACAGCAGCTGCCCCTCGGGCTCCTCTCTGATTCACAGCTTCCCAGGAGCTTCCTACCAGCTCAGATCAAAAGCCAGCGCTCACAGAGCCCTCAAGGCCTCACCTGCCTGCCCGTTCCCTCTCTGGCTGTCCTCCCCCATCCATCCTCTCCAGGCTTCCTAGGTTCCTGGATGCTCACAGGCTTTGCACTGCCCTTTCAGATACTTTCCCAGGCTTGTGCTGGACGCTCAACCTCTGTTAGACACTTGCAGCCACAGGGCAGCTGCTGACCCCCCTCCCACAACCCTGAGTCTCCTTAGCACACAGTCTCTGTCTTCAAATTGCAGGATACCACCACCTTTCAACCAGTGCAGGCCTAGGGTGGGTGCTCACTGAATATTTCTGGATCCACTGGTAAACAAGTGGTCAAGTTTTTAAATAAGGATGTTTAATAAGAGTTTTCTATCTCAAATAAAAATCTCAGTTTTTAAGAGAAATTTTATAGTCCCCATCAGCCTTTAAAAGTAGTTTCTATTTTCTACACCACACTGAGGATAAGTTTTTAACTGACTGCAAGTTAAAGGCAAGCCTCCTCTCCAAAAGAAAGACACATCAAGTGGTATTTCAACTAAATTCCAATGGGTCACCTCAGTACTTCCACTCTGTTGGGGCCTGTGGAGTCAGAAGTGAGGGAGACCCAGTGCTGCTCACCATGCTCAGGGTAGTGGACCACAAAGAGGGACCATCACACATGCACACCGACTCAGAGGACAGCTCACCTGCAGCAAGGGTGGCCAACCAGAGAGGAGCCTGGGGAAAGCCCAGGAAAGGCCAGTTCTTGCCCAGTCAGACTCAGGCATGGCAAGGGAGGGGCCTGTTACAGCTGGCTCCTCACTCTTGGAAGCCCTGGGAGAGATTCCTCAGACCAGGAAAGCAGCTGCTTGCCCCTGAGTTCCAGCCTTGGAGCAGAATGGAAGCCAGAAAGCCCAAGAACTGAGCAGTTGACATACAAGGTTTCCTGTGTCCAGTATTCATCTTGGGCAGGGCTCACCATCATGCTGAGGTGGGCACAGAGGTTCCATCTTCTCAGGGCCCACAGGGAGCCAGGCCAGGAGCCAGCTCGTAGAGCCCATGGTGGGCACTCACCCCACCAGGGATGACATATGTGGCCCTGCAGGCCCCCTGCCCAGTGGTGGGTCTCAATGGGATCCTGCTCTTTGGGATCCTTTCCTAACCTCTCCCCACAGGGGTACTCCTGCAGTGAAGAATGGCCCTGTGACTTCAGTGTCCCTGCTATCCCACTGGGACATAGCCAACTCTATCATCTGAGCTTTGACCACACTCAATCTGCTGGAGACTTTTGGCACCGTCTAGTGCACCCTTCGTTTCTGTACTACATGGTTTGGAAGCTCACTGAGCTTCTCCATCCAGAAAGGTTTTCCCAGAGACAGCTCATGGGTGCTGCACTGAGCCAGGCTCAGCCCAGGGGCCTGGGTGCCCACAGTGTCCTGGCACTGCAGAGCAAATGCAGCATTTTGCTATAAAGTTGCCAATTGCTTCTCTTTACTATTACACCAAGAATGCATGTGGGTTATATTATCTCTGAAATCATTTCAGAGAAGAAAATGAGGCATTATTAAAAGGAGGTACTGGGCCTGGGCTGCTGAGAACGACCTCACTTGTATGAGCTCATGTGCAGAAGGGACAGTCATGGAGGAGGGGGCAGGTGGCAGCCTGAGCAGCAGCCCTGCCATCTCACCTTAGTGGGCTACATGGGGCCCCCAAAAGACATGGGATCTTCACCCTAGGAAGCTGTGGAAGTGACCCTATCTAGAAATGGGGTCTTTACAGAAGTAACTAGGATCTTGAATTGACATCATCTTTGACTGGACTAGGTAGGTCCCAAATCCAATTATTATCATGTCTAAAGACACAGAAGAGGACAGAGAAGGAGAGGAGGCCACACAGAGGCAGAGGCTGGAGTGCTGCCACCAGAAGTCCAGGAACACCAGTACAGCCAGAAGCTCAGAGGGGGTAAGGACCCACCCCCAGAGACTCTGGAGCAAGCACAGCCTGCTGACACCTGGCTTTCAAGCTTCAGCCTCCTGAACTGAGAGAATGAACTTTTGCTGTTTTAGTCCCCAGTTTGTGGTCTTTGCTTACAGCAGCCCAGGACACAAATACAGAAGCTGGAAAGATGTGCACAGTAGTCCACGCACCCTCCTCAGAACAGCCAGGGGACTGTTTTGCCTTTTAATTTGCCCAGGTCATGCACCACCAATAAACTTGGACAGTCTGTTCTCAGAAGATCTTGGTCATAACCACAACAGAGCTTTGACTTCAAAGGTATGAAGGGACACACTGACAGTGACCCCACACTCTTCCCTATGTGTGGCTTTCTGGCCTCAATGCACTGCTACCTTTCACACCACCTTCAGGGACCTGACTCACCTCGGACAGTCCTCAGCCAGTCCACATTGGACGCCTCCAACTCCTCTGGGTCTGTGACCACCCTGCCAGGGATGATATGTTCAAAGGTGGCCAGGTCCTCTTCACACACAGTGGAGAATGGCAACCGCTGCACAGGGTAGCGCTCCTGGGTCAGCCTCACCTCAGGGGTGCGGGAGGCTGAGGAGTAGTCTCTGACAGTCAAGGGGCCAGACACTCCCCAAGGACAACCCAGACACCTTTGTTTCACTGAAGCCCCAAGAGCGCAAGCTGTCCTTCTCCATCCTAGAGAGGCCTGGAGGAGCCACACAGACCATCTGGGTATCCGATGAGGCATCACTGCTCCAACCCTAGAACATAACGGATTGAACCTGCAACTCCAGCAAGCGTGAAGCAATGAAAAGAGAGGCCTACACAGCCATACAAGGCCCAGAGGCACAGGAGGGCTTCCGCCCTGGGGAAGTAAGGTGAGGGCTAGCAGCCAGGGCAGGGCTGGGGGTAAAAGGGACCTGACACCCAAAGGTTCTGCTCTTGATCCCGACGTGAGAATTCACCCGCTGTACCTGTGGCTAGTGCATTCTCTCGCGGAAGTTACATTTTTACCATTTAAGCCTTTTCTGGTCCTTCTCCTTCAGAGTAAAACTCAGCTTTAGGGCACTGGGTGCCACTGAACTGTGCACCACAGCAGTGCTAAATGGTGAGTTTCAGGCTTTGGGTGTATCCTGGCCCGAGTTTAACAGTTTGCATAATCGACAAAAACCTTAAAAAGGCCTTGACCGCGCACGGTGGCCAAGGAGGATGCTGCACGTGTGAGACCAGCTCGTGTCACAGTCACCTCGAACAGGGGCCGTTAAGAGGCCGCCTCGGCCGACCTGGGCTCGGGAAACCTGAACCACAACCCCGGGGAAAAGGAGGCCCAGCACCGAGGCCCGCGCGGGACCCGGACCCCACGCGGTCGGTCGGGAAGGGCCGCAGCCTCGCCCCCGAGGACCCCGAGGACCCCCAACGCCCCGGCTCGCCCCTGGGGAGCGCGCACTTCCACCCCGGGCGATCACGTGACGAGGCGCCGCGCAGAGGGCCCGGCCGCGGACGCGCGCCCGTCGCCTCCACCCCAGGAACCGCAGCCCGGCCCACCGCCCGGCTCCGGCGTCCGCGCGCTCGCACCCGCGTCCGCGCCCCCGGCTCCGCCGCAGACCCCACGCCGCCGAATCAGAAGGGCGGAGCGAGCGGGATGCGCGTGCGCACTGGCCCCGACCTGAGGCCACGCCCCCAGCTGCCACGCCCCACCCCCCGTCCCGCCCTCGCAACCTCGGACACCTCGAGAGTCCAAAGCCTAGACCCTCTGCTTTGACCAGTGTCTGGCTCCACCCAACGGGCTTTCCCCACGTGATCCACCCCGGACTGGCCCTGGAGGGTAAATGCCTAGTCCCTCGCCCCACTGTGGGTCCTCCCAAGGGTTTGTGCCTCCCCCAGGGAGTTTCTGTCCACCCGCCCCCAGATGTCTCCCCCCAGCAGCTCCCGAATCCCCAGCGGACCTCTGGTCCCTCAGGGGTCTCTGACTCCACCAGGGTCAGCAGACAACCCTGCAGATAGTGAAAGCCACAAGTCAGCCTCCTGCCTAAGCAGCAGGCACTCTTTCATGAACAGAGAGGCCCAGGGCCGGGACTCACCTGCAGGGACCTCAGAGGGGCCAGCCCTCTCCTGAGGCCAGTCCAGCCAGTCCAGCTACACAGAGCACGGGTCCCCCAGTGTGAGGCCAGCCCTCAGCACACACTCCTCGGCAGAGGCATGCCTGCTCTGCACAGCACCTTATGGCAACTCCAAGGCAGAAGCCTCCCCTAGACTCCTGAGTCAATGTGGACCCCTTTCCACCTTAGGTTACAGGTGGTTGCTGCTTCCTGCAATTATTCTGTTGCCTCAGTGTTCACTTTTCCTACCCTCCATACCCTAGATTAAGTTGCTAAAATAACTACTTTCCTGACAATACCTGGTATCTGGGTAGGATACCAAGCATTGTTAGGGCTCATCTCCCACTCTGGCTCCCATCTGTCATCAGAGAAGACCAGAATATTCTGTGGACTGTTAAAATAATTTAGACCTCAGAGTCAGATCAAGGCAGAACATACAAGCATCTTCCTTAGGCTGAGACGGTACCATAGAGGTGCGTGGCTGCTTTCCAAGTAAGACCCAAGGGATCCTGGGGGTCCTTACAAACTGGCAGAGAAAACAGCTGCATACTGTATCCAGATGTAGGTGTCCCAACACAACACCTGAGCTGAAACCGCAGCTGCAGCTGGAGTCAGAGTCTGAAGCACCACAGTCCCAGCAGTCACCTACTTCTGCACAGGTAATCAGTACTGGAGAATGGAAAGCACTTGCCCGGCATCTTCCAAGCCCAGGATGGGTTTTGTGTTTGGGTTCCTATGCTGGTTGGAAGAGGGCATTCCAGAGGTTCCACAGCCCCCTGTGGGAAGCTGCAGTTGTGGAGGATGGCTGTCAGTTATAGTCAGGAACTGGAAAGATGCTGGGTGGGGGAGCCCTCTTAAACAACCACTGCTTACCACCTGACCACCACAGCCCCCAGTGGCATCATGGACCCTTGGAATTAGTAACAATTCAGAGCCAATAAAGACTACCGGCCACTCACCCACTTACCACCCAGGGCAGTCATGTGACACACGGCTGCCAGTGCCCTGGAGCTTGCACCAAGGGCACAGCATGCTAGAGTAAGTGAAACGGGGCAGTTCCACCAGGACCTCAGCCTCCTCCTCCTCCAGCAAGGACTCCAGATGTGACAGCTGGTTTCCTCTGGCTGGTGGTGAGACTGTGACTCCATCCTGCTGGCCAAGGTGTCATTGTAAGATTACTGGGCCCATTATGTGGAAGCCCAAACCCCCAATGTGATTGTATTTGATCATAGGACCTACAAGAAGTAATAAAGTATAGGCCCTGATCCTATAAGGCCAGTGTCCCTATAAGAAAAGGCAGTAGAGCACTCAGTGAGAAGGTGCCATATGCAAACTAAAGCAAAAGCCCTCATCAGACGCCAGTCCTGCTGGCACCTTCACCTTGGCCTTCAAATCTCCAAAACTGTGAGAGAGAAACATTGCTAAGCTCCCAGTCTGGAGTATTTGCTGGCAGTATCCCAGTGAGCCCAGAACAGTTCCCAAAGGGGTCCTGGCCCCCATGAGTTCTGGGGAAGGCATGGTACTGCTTCATCAAGCAACCCTGGACATTCCTTGGGACCAACTTCTGATGCTACAACAGTGGGACACCTAGTACTGGCCACTATCCTTCCTGAGAACCCAGGGTCCTGGGCTTATGACGTCCCCACACAACTCTCTTTGGACTCACTGTATAACCTTCAAAACTGACCTGAGACATGCTTATTTATCTCTGGTGCAGCACAGAATGCTAGGCCTGTTTCCCAAAATGATGCACTTCCAAATGTTTGTTCCAAAAAATACTTTATTTATTAAACAATATATCCATAATCTATAACATGATCCAAAAATACAGATATACATCTTTACATTATTTAATAAAAAGATTTACAGTAATATCTTTCCTTTACAAAGGGGACACAGGTAATAATTCCTTGAAAATAAAATGTGACATTCATGTTAAAGCTGCATCATCCTTTTGGATGGAGTGTGGTGAAGGAGAACACCAGAAAGCACACACTGAGGAGAAAGAAATTTCAGATGCTCCTGAATGGGAACACTTCTCTCAGACTTCCTCTGCATTAAGACTCCTCTCAGCACAAGTAATGAAGACCAATCACTGTTGGCTAAAAATCGAAGAAAACCTTAAAACTTCAGTGCCCGAAATAAATGTTCCTTATTGTCTGATTTCGAACCATGATGACGGAGCCCCAAAGCCTTTAACAGGGCCAACCCTTGGCTCTTTAGCCACATAGGGAAGCTCTCTCTCTCTGGGCAGTGTTACTGCTCAAAGCAGTCCCTGTCAAGGTGTCAGGGACAAGCAAGGAGGCAGAGTGCCGTCTGGACAGGTGTGGGCCACCTCCCCAGGACCACCGCCCACAAGCCCTCCAACCAGCATGCCCTTCAGTGCACACTGGAAGACACAGCCGGTGGCCTGGCTCAGGCTGACCTTGTGTACCTGCCCACAGGTCAAAACCTGCAGCACACACGGGATGGTCAGCTGCTGCTTGGCCATCACACAGGCTGCAGCTCAGTGTCCACGTCCCAGGCCACACACCACTAGCACCTTCACCCATCTGGGGGCTCAGTTTAACAAGTTTTTATTTAATGTATCATGCTATGACTCCTACAAGAAAACTGGAGACTAACAGCACAGCATGGAAAATAATGAAAATGACTTGCTTCTCTGAGCAAAACACTCCTGCATCTACAGATGAGCTACACCAAGGAGGACCCACACCCTGGGCTCAGAGAAGGCAGCTGCCAGGGCCCAAGGCAGGACCCCCTTGATCCACAAAAAGGGGACGACTCCATAGCTACCTCCAGTGAAGGTCTGGCCAGGCAGGCAAGGAGGGTCTGATCCAAAATTAAACCCCAAGTTTCCCAGGCCTTCAGGAGCAGCGCTCTATGGTACCAGCAGCAAGACACCTGAATTCCTGCAGTGCCAGAGCAGGGGGCCCAACACTCTTTCGACCTGTGGCCCTTCCTCTGCAGACACTATGAGAGGCACTTGAGTACCAGGGGCCAAACAACATCCCAAGGAAGTCTCCTATTCTGCTATTTTCTGTTGTGGTTTTGGTGCTGGAGGTCAAACAAGGGCTCTTACCATGGAGCTAAATACCCAACCCCATGTTTTCCAGTTTTTTTCAAAGCTATATGAACATTATTTTGGTGACATTATTGTAACTGGCAAAAGTAAACACTAAAAGAGATAATTAAAAAGGTGGGAAGCCAATTCAATGATGGTTCTTCATAAGAGGATGGAACACCATACGGGAAACAGAGAAGCCCTCACTTCCCCTAAAAAGCTGGCTGGACCTCAGGAAGCCAGAAGACAGAGCTTACGCAGCTTCCCAGCCCCTCCACCAGCAAACCCCATTTGGACTCAGTGATGGCAAGGTGGAGCCAGCCTAGGATGAAGCACAGATACTAAACCAGCTGCTAAGGCATATCAGGCAGCTTGATTACAAACTCCCTATGCTTAAGAGTGGTGAAAGTAGCTGGGCATGGTGGTGCACACTTGTAATCCCAACGCTTGGGAGGCTGAGGCAGGAGGATGGCAAGTTGGAGGCCAGCCTAGCTACATGGCAACACCCTGTCTCAGAAAAACAAAAGCAAAAAAAGTAAAAAGAAGTATGCAGGAGGCCAGGAGTATGATCCCCAGCACTGCACAAAAAAAAAAAAAAAAAAATTCTTACAACTGATTCTCATGCTCTTTAAGTATCTGCCAACAAAAAGGTGTCACAACACAAAATGAATTTCTAGTTTCACATATGGCTGAAAATGAGGGACCATGAAAGGTGCTGGACCTTGAGTCAAGGCCGCTAGCCCTTTCCATCTGGCCTGGGGACCCGATGGGGATGAGCTGCCTTCACCTGCCATCAGGGAAGAGCCAGTACCATCAAACAACTCGCCCCATGCACAGTAAAGCCACTCCCCACTCTCCCACCCCAACAAGCCGACCAGGAACACCCTGACAAGCTCAGAACCCCAGAGTCACAGGTCCCCACACCATCCTGACCTCAGCATTCCTGGAGTCCTCGTTCTCATTTGTGAACATGGACTAACCTGTGGGTGTGGCATGGTCTGGGATGCAGGGCTTCACAGCTCCCTTCTGCTTCATCTCCTCCACACAACAGTAGGAAATCTTAGTGTGGCCATCAGAAGGAAACGACCTATCAATCTGAGGCCCTCTTAAAGGAAAGAGGCTCTCCTTAAATTGGGAAGTCCACATCTCACTTCTATCACACAGTTGTTCTTCTGGTGTGAGGGCAGACACAGGCTTCCTTTGGTTCTTAGAGAACCCACAGACTCTGAGTGCAAGCTAGAGGACCTCTGAGTCTACAGAGATCCTCAGAAGCCATGCTTGGGGTCCACCACAAATGTATCTCAATAGGCCAAACACAGGCATTTTCCAACTATTACCAAAAAGATGGTTCAACACTGGCTTGGTGAGTGCTGATTAAACAAAAGTACACTCTAGTTTCCTACCTTCATTCCAGAACTGTACTGGGCACACAAATTCACAAATCATGTCACATAATTGTACTCCCCTTGGCTGTAAGCTGCCAATCTAGTGGTATACAACATAAACAGAGGTCAAAAATCAGCTCTTAGTAGACAGATTCACTTCACAGACACACCGACCACGACCCTCATGCTATTACAATAATCTCATCTTCACAGTAAAAACGTCAAGAATTCCCAGAGAAACAGGACTTCAGCCCAGCTGTGAGGCTGCCACTTGGCAGTGCTGGTCTTGGTAACTGACAGCCGAGGCTGATGAAGCTGTAACTCAGGAAGGGGAATCCCGTGGGGGAAGACCAGAAGTTCACACTAAAAAGGCAGTGCACAGTGAGGCAGAAGCACTTCCTCCTGGGAAGAGCCAAGGCCACTTCCAGGCACGTCAGAGGTGACCTAGCCAGGAGTCCACGGTGTTCAGAGTCAGGTTCAGAGCACAGCATGGGGGCAAGAGTGCTTCCACGGTGCCATGCAGTCCTAGAAAACTGCACGTGGACACTCAAGGCTGCCTCTGGTCACGAGGTGGTGGCAGTGTACCAGGCTAAAATGTCCACCACAACATGCACTTGGCCTGGCAGATTGGGTTCATGAACACCCACCCCAGACCCCAGGCTGGCTGGAGGGATGCAATGGCCAGAGCCAGGGGTCTGTACATAAAGTCACTGAGGCAAGTCCCTGTGAGATTGCTCCTCTGTGCAAACAGGGTGAGGTGGTTTCTCGTTTTAGAAAATATCCAAAATTACAACTGGCCATTGAGTTCTATCAGTTGAAATAAGGTAGTTTAAAATGAAAGGAAATATTGCAACGTGAATGAGGAAATATATTAACTTGCGCTTCAATCTGGGCACATAGCCTCTTCCTTACTTCTTCTTTCTCTTCTCCTGAACACACCGTGGACAGAACCTGTGACAAGAAAGGCCCAGAAATTGGCCCTTTGCATCACTTCTGCCAGAACACAGAATTCCCAGACCCCACCTCCAGCATCTCCCAGGGCAGCTGGACTCGGGAGACACAGCCAGAGGACAGCCATACAAACACAGGAGGGTGCAGCCTTCCCTCTGGGGAAAGCTGCATGTGACTTGCTGTCTCATGAGTGTTTTGAAGTTGACAAGACACATATCAATGATAGTCTCGTGCTCAAATTGATAAACCTGGTTATTTTTCCCTGATTGGTTACAAGGTCACTGTGCCCACTGTGGAGATGATACCCTTAGCCAGCTGGTGGAAGGTGTGTCTGGGAAAGCTGGTCATACTGAGGGCTAAATGAGCAGGTGCAGGCCCATCAGACCTATGGCCATCAGTGCCCGACAGCTACATTGAACACTGGAGCCTGCATGGCTCATGAGAGAACCATGCATGCTCCACAGCCTCAGGCACAGGGCTAGTCTTAGACACTCCGGGACCACAGCCAGCTGCTGTGACACAAAGCATTTAACAGGTTTCCCATGCAGGAGGCAGCTCATTAGCTTGTGACAGCTACTCTCACTTCCCTGTGTCCTCTGCGCTAAGAAGGTCTGAGTACCTGTGCATTAGTACAGCGAGGTGACAACCAGCAGCTCCAGATCTTACTGAGCGGCCTCCTCCCTACCCCCCACCACAAGATCTATATAAAGACCACACTGAAGTTGGGCACCAGTGGCTCATGATTGTAATCCTAGCTACTTGGGAGGCTCAAAGTCAGCTTAGGCAAACAGGTCACAAGACCCCATCTCCAAAATAACCAGAGCAAACTGGACTAGAAATGTGGCTCAAGCAGTACAGTACCTGCTTTGCAAGCACAAAGCCTCAAGTTTAAACCCCAGTCCCCCCCCCAGAAAAAAAAAAGTACTGAAGCCCCATCCTCTACCCTACCCCAACCCCACATAGCCAGTTCCTCTGCCTGACCCTGTGTCCAATACAGTAGGCAGCTGCTTAAGGACCCTCACAGGCATATAACAGCAGCCCTACCTGCCTTCCAGTGCTACTGTACTGGAAGTGTACATGAGCTCTTGTGCAGGCTCCAGCATCCAGTATAGCTGAGTCAGGCACTGGTGGCCACAGGCCTGATGGGGCTGTCCCTGCTCAATTGGCCCTCACTACAACCAGCTCCCCCAGACACACCCTCCACCAGTCCTTCCCTCCTGGAAGTCCTGTGAACAACTACCATATCCAAATCAAACTCAAAAATTGGCTTCCCCTGCCTCCCACCTGCACAGCCATGCAGATGCTCATCATTTTTCTCAGCTCAGAACCACCATCCCATCAGAAGCAGATCACACATAAGAGGGTTTGCACGAGCTGACCAGGAGCCTTCCAAGACATGGCACCCACCCCTGCCTTCCCTCTGTGGTCCTTGCACCAAGACCAGAGGACAGCTCATTCCCATCAATCACAGGTTGGGCTGAAGAAGTTTCCACCTCATAGCAAACAAGCATGTTACCATGGCCTGTTCTGGATGCTCCACACAAGGACAGGAATATACACCCACTTTTAGCGCAGGTTAACATCACCAGGTCTTTATGTCAATGAAATATTAGGAACATTTGAACAGTTACCACTACCTGGAGAACTCGCAAGCCTCCTGTACCACTTCTCGGTTAGGTGGAACACTAGCAGGGAGCACCCAGCCACACTCAGGCCCTAGACTGATTCTCTGCTCTCCACAGATCTAAAATTTCCCTGGGAACATTTACAAAGACTCTACCTCACTTGAGAGCCAGAATGGGGGCGTGGGGCATGGTTAAGTGATGCCCTAGGTTCCATCCCCAGAGCACAGAGCAAAAAAAAAGGGATCCGAATAGCTCTTCTTCAGAGGATAGCAGTATAAACCATCATGCAGACCTAACAACTGTCTCTCTGGGTGAACTGGACAATAGCCAGCCCTCTGTAAGTCCCCACAGCCAGGACCAGCTCTATGGCAATACTGAGACCCACCACATGCCCACAGCACCAGACAGGCAGGCCCACCCAGGCTGCAGCAGGGAGGCACAAGCACTGCTAGCCCAGCTTCTGGCAAACAAGAGGCTCTTGGGGCAAGACCACAGGTGGGAGAAGCAAAACAGGCACCCAGCTGGGAGCCGGTGGCTCATGTCTATAATCCTAGCTACACTCAGGCAAAAATTAGGAGAAGCCAGCCCAGGCAAACAGTTTGCAAGACCCTATCTCAAAAAAACCCATCACGCCAGGCGTCGGTGGCTCACACCTATAATCCTAGTTTCTCAGGAGGCAGATATCAGGAGGATTCAGGTTCGGAGCCAGCCCAGGCAAATAGTTCACGAAACCCTATCTCGAAATATCCAACACAAAACGGCTGGTTTTGTGTTGGGAGTGGCTCAAGTGGTCAAACTCCTGCCTAGCAAGCATGAGGCCCTAAGTTCAAACCCCAGTACCAAAAAAAAAAAAAAAACAACAGGCAATCATACTGACCACTTTCCTTTGGGCTTCGTGGTGAGATCCACACAGGCGAAGTGAAACCACTCGATTGGACACTGCAAGGTAAGGAGAGAAGGAGAACGATGGACAGGTGAACTCAACTATGATATCTCATAAGATCCTTTGTAAATGTCACAATGTCTCCTCAATACAACAGTATAATAAGAGAAAGAAATAAACAAACAAGGGCAAAGCCTCAGCCCCCGCACCTGTGCATTCGGCATATTCACCAGGGAAAGGCCAATACCCCCATCACCCCTACAGGTCTGCCCCAGAGCCCCTGCATCCGAAAGCCAGACACTCACATCTGGGTTGTCGCAGCCAATCATCTCCCCATAGGACACCTGGTGGCACAGGCAGTACGTGGGCTCGTTCGGATCCACAGGCATGTCCAGCACATCAGAGGGATGCACAGACAGGATGGTGTCAGTGAACTCGGATCTATGAGGAAGCCAAGACACTGCTGATCACAGGGAGGAGGGAGGTGGCTGCAGGTCAGGCACCAACCCCTCCTGCCAAAATTCCCTTGCCCTGTGGCTGAAGACAAAGGAAGCTTCCGAGCAGGAAATCTAGAACAGCCTGCAAACTACTCAACATTAATAAACTGCTTCCAGTTTCCTTGCAGTACTTGGAACCTGAGGAAATTCCCAGTGCCTGTTACTGAGATGTATTTTCAGTGAGAACCTCAAAACCCTCTGACTAAGCGACACTCTCCTGAGCATTACACAAGGACATAAATAAGCAAGTTGTCAGTAAAAGGTTTCACTGGATAGTCAACCACCACAGAACGCAGGAACAGCTGACAGGAGGACATAGCACCCCCACAATAGCCAGCCAAGGTCACGGAGCAGCGAGAACACAGGTGCTGAGAGGCTGTGCTAGCAGTGCTCCTCATGTCACATCAGCCACTCCTGTCCTTTGGGGGTCACAAGACCCTTCAGCCTCAGTGCCACCACCCATGAACACTGCCCCTGGCCTCCAGGGCCCCTCTCTTCTACACTGGCCCTCCTCAGCCTTCTACCAATTTTGGCTGGAGCAAGAACACTTCCCCACCTACCAGCATGGAGATAGCATTTCAGAGAAGCCTGCCTATGTCCTTCCCCAGGCTGACCCAGGTGTCATGGTGTTGGCCATCTCTTCCATAACTTGATAGAAACACCCCCATCCCAAGAGAAGGCCAGTATGTCCTGTGCCCAAGCCAGCATGCATCTACATGGGCACCTTCCCCAACCACAAGTCCAGGTGGCTCTTCTCACCCTCCCACAGGCACCCAGTCCAGGATGCTGTCAAGCCCACTGACCTGCCTCTTGCCAGGAGCCTCTTGTGACCACAAACACTGTTCACTTCCCCCTCCCCACAGCTGCAGCCCAACAGGAAGTCCCCCAACCCATGCTCCCTGCTGCCTGCCCATGACAACAGGAGGGCAACCCCATGACAATAGCAGGAGGGCAACCCCATGACATACTTCAAAACCATAAGGAGCCCTGTGCTACATATATGAAAGGGCTGTGCTCAAAGGGCGACTCACTCTTTACCTGTAATTCTCAGGCAAATCCACAAGCTGTAGGGTGGGCTACACAGTATAGCCCCATTAGCATAGTCCCTGCCCACTCCCAAAACCCAGGAATATATATTGCTAAAGAAATACAGCAAGTTCATATAAGGGCCGTGACAGAGAAGACACCAGTTGCAAACATGGACACAGTCACAGTCAGGGGATGTAAAGAGAAGCCTCGTCCCCAGAGGTAGCCACACACACTGGCCTTTGCATCCCTGTCCAAACGTCCTCTAGACCTTTCAGCTGCAGAGATGTGTGTGTATACACTTAGGTCCAAGAGCCTCTTCCCATCTGCCTCTCTTTGCATTTGAAATCTGTAACATCTCAGAAATGAAACATACCCCCGTCCACATGCTCTGCCAATGCTGCTTCTGAGCAAATCACTGCGGTCCTTCAGGCAGGAAGTGTCTGCTTTCCCAAGGGAGACCTGTGACTTTCTGCATCCTGGCCTCCTGACCTCTATGGTCTCTGCATGACCAGTCATCCCTGGACACAGCACAGTGCTCTCTGTAATGCTCTTCCACTCAACTCAGGTGAATCAGTAAGTGCCTGGTTGCTTAGGAAGTTCCACCCAACAGTCACATCCCATTCAGCTGCCACGTGACCTACAGCGCACAACCACCTGGTTCAAAGGTACTGGCCAGATTGGGGGAAGTAGGAGAGAGTGAGATGGGCTGAGGGGACCACCCAGCAAGGACACTTCACAGGCAGCCCCTGTCCCTCAGGCAGGCTGGGGCACCCCTGGCTCTCAGCAGCTGCCCACTGACTTGCTCTAGCTCTTCTGACACTAGATTTGGCAGGTTCCCCTTGCCCGGTGGGTTTAGGAGCCCCCAGGCCTAACCCCCATGTGTTTCCCCAGTGCTCCAGGTAGCCCCCAGCAGGGGACTGGCTATCTAAGTTTTGGGATCAGTGGCTGCAGGAAAAAATGAACCTTTCATCCCCACATGCAGGTCCTGCCTTGCCAGGAAGAAGGCCCTGGGGCAGTACTGATGTGGGGAGGAGCCTCAGCTCCCAGGATCTCACAGATGGGAAATGACTGAGGTATGGGAACATTCCTGGACAGGCACTGAGGGAGTGACAGACAGGAAACTGACTGTGTCCTAGGTCTCCAGGGAACAGGGATTCTGCAAACTACAGCACCCCTAAGCTAGGCTGTGGAAACCAATGCACAGGGGGTATCAACAATTTCTGTGTGCAATTCAGGGCTGTGTCCTGTAGACACACCAGCTCCCACCCTGCACCCAGCAAGTCCAGGTCTGTATCCATCTGTGGTTGTCTCTTGGGATGCCCCTCTGCACAGGCTGCCTATAACACGCACTGCAGCTGGCCTGTCTCAATGTCTGGGAAATACGGTGGTAACAACAGTGCCATGCAGGCCAGAGAAAGATGGATCTACACACAAGCACTGGATGCAGCCAACTCGCAGCAGGCGTCCTGCCTCCATCTGGTCACTGCTGCGAGCATCCTAGTACAGACCTGAACACAGGGAGAGGCCACCGTCCCCACTGCTGCTGGGCAGGTGTCAGCACCAGGAGGAGCAGCATGGCTCCTGTCATTGAGCTGCATGTGTTTGCAGAGACACTGCAAGACTGTCTGTGACTGAGGCCTCAAGAGGAAGTACCGGCCAGAGGGAGCTGGAACATCCCCACCATCAGAACACCAGTGCTGGGCTCCTGGCACTAACCATGTCCTGAGAAATGCTCAGAGAAGTGTCAAACAAAAAGGCCTGTGAGAGCCCAGGATGCAGGGATAGATGGCCTTTGGCTTCTGGGTAGGGGGAAGCCCTACGAAGTCAGAAATGCACAGCCCAGCAAACTCAAAAGGTGAGGTTTTAAAGACATCAAAAGCACTGGAGCAACAAAACTAAGTGACATGCAGCCAAAAGAGGGGTCCATCTGTCTCCTGGGCCTGGCAGGGCTGGCAAAACCCCAGGACCACCTCAGCACAGCCACCAACATAATACTTCAGGACCCACAGCCGGCGGCCATGTCCTCACAGGACATGTGTTCAGTCCAGGGGCCACACGAGCTGCACAGGAATATAAAGGTTGAGTGAAAATCCCTGCAGCCTCAGAGTCTGAAGACAGGGGTCTTTTCTACCCTCAGACCCTACCAACCACAGAAGCAGCATAGATGGAATGTGAGAAAGGAAAGCCACTTGTGGCCACAGCCAGAATGAGCCACAGGGAGCCTTGGTGAGGGCGAGCCTGAGGCTCCCTGAGCTCTCAGCCCACAGCCAAAGAGCTTCCCCTCACAACACCTGAGGCCAGAGAACACTGGGTCTACTGCAGGTAGATGTACCTACATCAGCCTGCCTGAACTAGAGGAGAGCAAACACATGTGGGAAAGAACAAATCGCTCTCCACCTCTTTACACCTGAGGGCAGCCAAGGAAAGAACCATCAGAAGACATGAAACTCGATGACAACCAAGGGCAAGGCTGGCGTACAGAAGCAAACACACAGACCATGTTGCAGACAAAACTTCACACAGCCAGTGCAAATACACTACAAGGGCTGGGGGCGTGGCTCAAAGCAGTAGGTACAAACCCCTGAGTTCAAACCCAAGTCAAAAAAAAAAGACAGAGAACAAACAGACTTCTACTTCTGGCCATGCTACAACAGGTACTGAACTTGCCCTCCTACTGTTAACAACTAAAAACCTGGACAAGACATATGAAGCAACTGTTCTCAGACACCAGACAGTGGCCCCACAAGGAAAGCAGGAAAATGTCACTTCCCACAGAGAAGAAGTCCAAACAGCGTGAGTGTCCTGCTGAACACAGAAAAACCCAAAATCCCAGGAGGCTAAACATGCTGGGACTTGGGGCAGAGAAAGGTAGGTACAGATAAGGCACTCCAGAAATCGGCAAAGGGATCCCTTTCAGTTTTGGGCTAAAAACTAAGCTGTTTGTGTGCAGAGTGAGGATCGCAGCTCCAGGTCAACATGGGCAGAAAAGCTTGCAGACCTCCATCTCATCAGAGAAAAGCTGGGATGACAAGCCTGTCAGTCATTCCTACAGCCAGAAGTGTGAAGGGGAGGAGATCACAGTATAGGACAGCCTGGGTAAAAAGGGAGACCCCATTTCTAAAAACAGGCTGGGGGCAAGGCTCAAGCAGTAGAGCACCTGCTTACCATGCCCAAAGCCTAGTTCAACCCCCACCAAAAATTTTAAATTTACTTTTCTCAAGTATTCACCTTGCTATTATCTAGTCACCACACTGTACAACAGATCTCTAGAACTTACTCCTCACACCTAACTCAGGTTCAGAGTCCTTTGACTAACATCTCCCCACTGCACCCCTCCCACCTCTACCCCGGTAACCACCATTCCACTCTGCTTTTGGGTCCAACCTCTTTAGATTGCATATATGATCAGTTTCAAAATCTGCTGAACATGTCAATAGTTCACACTTAAAACGACAAAGTACATGTGAGGTTTATGCCATATGTGGAAGTAAAAAACACAATAGCACAAAGCATGTACCACAGAAAATGGAAGAATACTGGGCAGTACCTTTTATTAAATATGAATGGTATTTCAAGTTTGCTGTGGTAAGCTAATGAAACAGCATGTGCACAGTAGAATGATCCATTTTTTTAAAGCATAGCTAATAAGACAACAGTAGGAAAAATGGAATACCAACAAAATCCTAGATCAGTCCAAAAGAAAATAGAAAAAAACCATGAGACAAACACAAAACCTAGTAGCAAGATGGTAACTCTATATCCAGCCACGCCATTCATTACAGTAAATGAGAAAAATCCACATATTGCAATGAATGGGCAGAGACTTGTCAGAGTTGGCAAAAAACAAGACTCACTATTTGCTGCATACAAGAAACCCACTCAAAAAATAAAAAGAAAAAAAAAAAAAAAGAAACCCACTCAAGTGCACACCAATAATCCCAGCATGGAGTGTGCAGACAGAAAGATCCAGTACAAGCCAGCCTGGGTTGTTTTGAGACCTGCAAGACCCAGTCTCAAAACAAACAAACTGGACTAGAGGCATGGCTCAAGTGGCAGAGCACCTGCTCTGCAAGCATGAAGCCAAATTCAAACCCGAGTCCTATAAAAAAAAAAAAACCAACAGGGCAACCGGGCACCAGTTGTAATCCTAGCTACTTGGGAGGCCAAGATCAGAAGGATCGAGGTTGAAGGCCAGCCCAGGCAAAGAGTTCAAGAGACTTCATCTCCAAAATAACTAGAACAAAAGGGACTGAGATGTGGTTCAAATTGTCAAGTCTGCTTTGCAAACTCAAAACCCTGAGTTCAAACCCCAATCCCACCAAAAAAAAAAATGTCAAAACAAAGAATGTTACCAGGAATAAAGATGACAAAGGTATTAAAAAAAAAAAAAACCTACATGTGTAACTACCAAGTAACAGAGCTTCAAAATATATAAAGCAAACCCTGAAAAACTGAGAACTCAAAGCAGTGGAGAAAGCAGAGCTGGAAATCCCAACATGCCTCTCTCAGCAACTGACAGAGCAAGAGACAGTGTGAGTAGGATGAGAGCCACCCAGTCAACCACAGTGGTGCACACTCCTGGTTGAATGCCTGAGCACATCCAGCAGACACACAATGAACAGGGCCAGGACAGAAGTCTCTGTCAACTTCAGAGGGCTTCAGGAACAGAATGTTCTCTAACTATAGCAAAGTTAAACTAAAAATTAAAATTGGAAAGTTATCTGGAAAAACCCCAGATTACTTAGAAATTGAGACACCTGCTTCTACATAAGTTAAGGCCAACAAAGACCACAACACATGTTTTCAAGTACTTCAAATGGAGTAAGAATAAAACCCTAACACAGTAAAATTTGCAGAATTCAACTAAAACAGAAATGAGAAGAAGGTAAGTATAAAACTCAAGAAATTGTGGGCCAGACATGTAGCTCAGTGGCAGGGAGCCTGCCTAGCATGCACAAAGCCGTAGATTCTGCCCCTAGCACCAAAAAACAACTTAAAAAACTAGAGAAAGAAAAGCATCTGGGCATAGTGGCACACACTTCTGATTCCAAGGTACTTGGGAGGCAGAGATAGAGGATCATGGTTAAGGGCAGAGCAGACAAAGTCCACATACCACATTTCTTTTCTTTTTTGAAAGACCCCATTTCAACCAATAAAAGCTGGGTATGGTGGCATGCACTGACCTACCATTCCAGCTGTGCAGAAGGCACAACAAAGAGCATCCAGTCTGGTCTGGACATGAACTTAAGACCCTTTTCGAAAAATAACTAAAGCAAAAAAACACTGGTTGAGTGGCTCAAGTGGTAGAGCGCCTACCTAGTAAGCACGAGGCCCTGAGTTCAAGCCCCAGCAATGCCAAGAAAAAAAAAAAAAAAAAAAAAAAACACCTTAAAAATAACAAAACAAAAAGACATGAATGTAAAAAGGGAACTGTTCGGGGAGGGAAGATCAGTGGGAGGGTGAAAGGAAAAGGGGATGGGGGAGTATGATTAAAGTACGTTATATGCGTGCATAAAAACAACACTAAACTCATTTTAAAATGTTTTAAAACGGGGGGGGGAGGATAAGAGTGATAGAGGGGCAAATCTTATCAGAGCGCACTATATGCACATATGAAAATATCACAATGAAATCCCTTTCTACTGTTAATATACCCTAATAGGAAAAACAAGAGAAAAAGTCAAGCACTGACGGCTCACACTTGTAATCCTAGCTATTGGGAGGTTAAGATCGGGAGGATAAAGGTTCAAGGCCAGCCTGGGCATAGAGTTCAAGAGACCCCATCTCCAAAACAACCAGAGCAAAATGGGCTGGAAACTTGGTTGAAGCAGTAGAGCGCCTGCTTTACAAGCTTGAAGCCCTGAGTTCAAACCCCAGTACAACCAAAATCATAAAAAATGTTTAAAAAGAGAAAAAATACTAGAACATTTTATCACACCATGGCTCACGCCTACAATCCCAGCTACTCAGGACGCAAAGATCAGTAAGAAGCTGCTTTGAACCCAGCCCAGGCAAATAGTTCAAGAGACCCTATCTCGAAAAAACCCATCACAAGAAAAGTTGGTGGAGTGGCTCAAGGCGAAGCCCCTGAGTTCAGACCCCAGTACTGAAAAAAAAGTTAAGTAAGGGGAGTGAGGAAGTGGTTTAGTAGTACAATGATTGCCTACCTTACCCAAGGCCCTGGGTTCCATGCCCAGCACCACAAAAACTACACAAAAATAATCAAATGTTAAATATAAAAGCCAGGCTTGGTGGCATGCACTAGCATCCAAGTGTTTGAGGTCAACCTGGGTAACATGAGATCCATTCCGAAAGAAAGGAGGGAAGACAGGGATAAATAAAACTAGCAAGACTAAAGCAGGGTGTCTTGGGAGATTACACTGTGAGCAGCAATTCACTATACTATCCATTCGTTTTGTGTGGCTTTCTGTATTGTGTACTGCTTGACAACACAAAAGTATTGGGGAGGTCTTTTTTTTTTTTCTTCTTTTTTTGGTAGGACTGGGATTTGAACTCAGGGCTTCTTGCTTGCAAAACAGGCGCTCTGCTGCTTGAGCCACACCTCCAGTACATTTTGTTCTAGTTATTTTGGAGATGGGGTCTCACAAACTATTTGTCAGGGCTGGCCTCCAATCATAATCTTCCCGATCTTAGCCTCCCAAGTAGCTAGGATTACCAGGGTGGGCAACTGACACCTGGCTTGGGTTTTTTTTTCTTTTTTTTTTTTTTTGCAGTACTATGGTTTGAACTCAGGGCCTCACACTAGCTAGACAGACACTCTACCACTTGAGCCACTTCTCAGCCCTTTCTTGTGTTTAGTATTTTTAAGATAGGATCTCTCGAACTATTTGCCTGGACTAGCTTTGAATCACAGTCCTCCTGATCTCTGCCTCCTGAGTAGCTAGGGATGCCCAGCTTGGGGTCTTTTGTCAGGCAAAAATTTTGGCTAAGGTGTAGCTTAGCGGTACAGTGTATGCTTAGCTGATGTGAGGTCCTGGCTTCCATCCCCAGTACCAAAAAAAAAAAAATTTCTCAAGACCAGGCTTAATAACTAGAACTTCCCCTTTTGTCAAAAACTAGCTCTTCTGACCTCTCCAGAATTGTCAGAACCATCTCTAGAGGCCTCTGCATTTTACCATTTTCCCTCTAGTCCAAATGTCACCTGAAGCAGCACAAGGCCCCAGGGAAGGGTGTCAGTAGAATCCTTTGAGGAAACTCATGATAAATAACACGTACATTGGAGTCATACAACTTGACAGTGAATACGTGTAAAATATATATTTACAAGACAGTCAACAGATGGCTACAAATTCAGTCACTGTGAGAGTGGCTTAGATGCACTGTCAGTAACCACTCGGCATTCTCTGGTCACTGTGGGCAGTGCACACAGTGTTAAGAGGACAGAGCTGAGTCACTGCCTCACACAAACTTGGCCCTTCCACCATGGGCTCTGAGACCTGGGGAGCTCCACTGGCGCAATGGCAGCCCCCAACAAGATGGCGCTGCCCAAGGGCCAGTATGAGCATGGGCTGGCTCAGCACATGCAAAGCATCAGGAGCTAGCACTCACCTGGACTCGAGGGCATCGGCCAGATGCACCCTCCCTGCCACTCCCACATCCAAGACAAATGTTAATAGTGGTTCCCTGGAAAAGAGCAGAAAGCGCCTTACCCGCTTTTATGCTTCTTTTTCTTCGGAGTGTCTTCTTCCGACGTCCTCCTGCCTCGACCCCGGGAGCCTCTTTTTTCTTTCTGACCCCGACCTTCTGAAAAACAGTAAGGCCCCCACATTATTCTCATAGCATTAACTAAAGCAGGGCAAGATTCACCCAAATATGATATTTACCATCAACTCCCAACACTTTTAGACAAAATTCTTCAAATCCCACAGCTAACAGTAATGAAACAAAGAGAACACAGCAGACTTGCTTTTCAGCCCCCGTCCTCCAGCACTCTCAAAGTCACTGCCGTCCATCTTATCCTTCAGGTCCGCCTCGAAGCGTGCCAGGTCAGCATCCAGCCTTCGGATGTGTTTGTCCACCTGCAAAAGGACACCTGAAAGTCTGACTTCAAAGTAAAATTGCGGTATAGGGATGTAGCACAGTGGTAGAGCCCTTGCCCAGCTTTGTGAAGCCCTAGGCTGGATCCCCTGGCACCGAAAGGAAAAACCCTACAACAGCTCCCCAACCAAATGAAACAAAAAGGGCCCAGAATCCAAAACCATAGGAGCAGCCACAGATGAAGGCCCCTGGTGAGTGCCCCCTCAGAGGCACCACTCTATGGACAGATACATGATGCACAGCTTTCCCCTCTATAGCACAGAAAGCAGGTGAGAGCCCCACCCGCGCCCCTGGCCCCTCACCATCTCATAGGTCTGCATGGCCAGCTGCACCTTGTCGTCACTGTACTCCTTGCACTTGCTATAGGCGCTCTGGATCTTCTGCAGGTGCTCCACACGCTGATCGGGAGAAAGTGTCTTCACTGTGGAGATGTACTCTGCAGCCAGGATGTCGATCTCTGCTTTCTTATCTGACGGAGAGACAGACAGATGAGAAACTAGCCCTGCACTAGACACACAGCAAGCATGTCACCAGACTGGCAGCAAAATCTGACACCACCAAATGGTGACAGGAGGTGGACTGCCAGGAGTCCAAGCTGCTGGCAGAGCATCAGTGGTCGTGTGGGTGTGTGCTTCATGCCTGGCACCTGGCAGCTTAGCTTGCCCAGGGCAGGCCCAGTCCAGGTGTTGTCAGCGAGAGCTCCCAATGTGCTTTCTCGGCACTCTGTCTAGACAGTAAGTCATGGTTTCACCTTGACTAGGACAGGACATGTTACTCCTAGTGATATGCCCCAAAGAGCTGGGCACTCAGGCACCAGGGAACACATGGGGAAACAGGAAACAATGCAGATGCCCTTTCTACAGTAGGCTGTGATCAAGCTGCGCTCAGTCGCACCGAGTGCCACCCAGCAGCACACAGCCATGTGGGTCCATCCCACAAAAGGCATGGAAAACAAGATGCAGGACCACACCGTGCATGCCTGCACTGACGACACCATGGGCAGAAACAGACAGAACTCTTAGCAAATGTTGAGAGGCGGGACACCTATGGTTATGGGAATGGAGGGTCACCACCAACTGAGAGCAGCAGGGGTGAAGTGACTAAGAGGGCTGTGCAAGCTTCCCGATGGAGAGGTGCAATCTCTCCATCCAGGAGGTGGGTACAGGGAGTGGTATTTGCTAACCCTCCTGCAAACATTTTATGCCCATTTCTGGTCATATATCATATTTCACAAGAAAAGTAGTCTCTCCACTCCAAAGATGCTGCACCTGCATAGAAACCAGCACTCCAATCTAGCTAACACAGCCAGCACAGTAAGCACAGTGTGTCATCCTGAAACTAAAATTCCAAGAATAAAGAGAACACATCAAAAGTCTCTCTGAATGGGAGAGAAGAAAGAGATCACAAAGGATAACAAATTGAAATGGCCTCAGATTTGTCAATCCCGATATGGAAGCCAGGAGACCATTCAGGGATGCATTGACATTTTGAGTGGAAAGAATCATCATTCAGAACTCCTTACCCAGCTGAGCCATAGTCACACAGGACTGAAACAAACGCTTCCTCAGACCTTTCCAGGTCCAGTTCAGCTAGCTACCAGAGGAGAGGCTCCACCAACACAAAGAAACAAACCCAAAAAAGGACATTTAGGATCCAGGGAACAGGGTCCCCAAGAAGAAAGTAAGGGGAGATCTAAGGAGAACTCCAGGGTACTGATTGCACAGCAGGCCCAGAGCCACTCAGGAAGGGGACCAGAGCACATGCAGACCTGCTGGGCAACGTGGCGGTCAGATGGCAGTGAAGAGTCCCTAGGAAGGCATGTGGAAAGCAAAATGTGGGAATCAGAGTCAACAAAGTAATCAGTAGCTATAACAAAGCTACTTATCCAAACCAGGACCCAAAGCTCTGAGCTCAAACCCCAGTCCCACTAAAAAACAATCAAAACAGGACACATGGCGCAGCACACAATATGGCAGTGTAAACTACCTGCACCCTCCACAGCTGCCCGAAGGACCCAGTCTCACCAGCCTCCAATTCTAGCTAACCAGACCTTGGAGTGGGGGAGGGGCTGTACAGAGGACCACACTGCATAAAGTAAGTGAGCAAAGTCTGAAACTGACTAGAAATAACAACAGGGAACATGCTAATGAGAAACAGGGAGCTAAGTATCAAGAGGACAGGAAGTAATTGCTAACTTTTTAAACTACAGGTTGGGCATCCCTAACCTGAAAACCTCAAAAATCTGAAACCTTCTGAGCACCAACACTGAGTTCAAGCCCCAACAATGGAAGATCCCACACCTGGCCTCAGGTGGCAAGTACCAGAGGAAGCTTGGTTCAGTGCACACAAACTTTGTTTCTTGCACAAAATCATTAGTGATGTTGTATAAAATTACCTTCGAGCCATGTATTGTGTTTAGACTTGGGTCCCAGTCCCAAGACAGCTCATTGCATATGCAAAAATAACAAAATGGGAAAACATCAGAAATGTGAAACACTTGTGGTTCCAAGCATTTTGGATAGGGGATACGCAATCTACCTCCACAGTTTGGAAACAGGAAGTTTTTCAAAAGAAAGAAAGAGGCAACAATTATTTTGACTCAAAAGAATGATGGTTAAGAAGATGTGACATGAAGCAGGGTGCCAGTGGCTCACGCATATAATTCTAGCTACTCAGTAGGCAGATATCAGGAGGATCATGGTTCAAAGCCAGCCCGGGCAAACAGTCTTCGAGATTCTATCTGGAAAAAAACCCATCACAAAAAAAGGGCTGGTGGAATGGTTCAACGTGTAGGCCCTTAGTTTAAGCCCCAGTACCGAAAAAAAAAAAAAGATGTGACATGAAGATGGCAACAACCCAAGAAACTACACCCGACTTTAAAATATAAGTACCAGTGTCCTGTGCCCCACCAAACTCAGGAGTCTGAGACAGGAGAAGCAAGAGTTCCAGGCCAACCTGGGCTACAAATGAGACCCTATCTCAAAAAACCAAAAGAGCACGGCTGCTGGTGTGCCTTGTGTGGTGGAGAACCTGAGTAGTGAGCACAAGGCCCTGATTTCAAATCAGTACACCAAAAGAATAACTAAAAATGCATATTGACTGCTTCCTATAAAAAAGTGCCAGCACTCCTTCCAGGACACGGTAATACCTGCGCCCCACTACAGTGAGTCTCCCCCAAGCCCTCTGCCACCCCATGTCCTTCACTACCGCCCCTCCCTGGCTGGACTCACCTTCTGTCCTCTGGTCTAGCTCTCGCATCAACTGGAAGTTCCTCTGAAGTTCGCAGGGAAGGTTCTCGATGCCTGAAAGAGAGCGGAAGCCCTGTACTTCTCAGGATAGATCTGCTTTCAAGGCCTTCCACCTGAAGTCTACTGCGGCTACACCACTTTGCCTTCTATTTCTGTTCAGGTTTGGGGAGGGAAGGGATGAAGATCTCTTTTAGGGTGGATTCAAACAGTGCTGACAGCAGCCAACATGCTTTAGAAGCAGAAGCTAGAGCAATGAGAGAGGAATGCAGAAACCAGCTGCCAGCAGAGGCAGGAGAGACAGCCATGACTCCTCCCAGGACCCTGTCTCTCCTCCCCCCCCCCCCAGGGTCACTTCCCTCAGTGAACTGCATTCTCCAAGGCTCAAGCCAGAACCTAGGTCCTCCTTGATCTCTCCAACTTTGCCCTGAAGTCTAGGGCACTGGGCAGTACAGACCAAACTGTCCAGGGGAACTTGACACAAAGATGGACATGTTTGCTCCTCACTGCCCAACACAGCAGCTCCTGGTTCCTGGAACTGCAACTGGTACCACTGAGGAACTCACTCACTAGCCCATGGCTAGTGATGAAACGAAGGTCAGTCAGCAAGAAGTCTCTTCTGACTGCTCTGCATCCCCTAGTCCCAGGTGACTCCACACTTACAGCAGGCTCCAGCCCTGGCTCCCTCCTCTGGTCTTGTCAAACACACCCCATCTACTCTCCACAGCTGCCAACGCCATCATTTTAAACCTAAATCTGAACTGACAAATCTGCTGCTTCAAGCCAGCAGCTTCCTAAGCTCACCCAGACGGCACACAACCTCTGGCTCCCCAACCCTAGCGGCCAACCCTGCCTTCCCAGGGACCTCTCCACTGAGGGGAGCAGGGAGCTTCACCTGTACTCTCCTGACCCATGTGCTTATTGTAGGTCTTAATCTTCTGTGAATTTTTAAAACCCCAGTGTGCCCCAACTAAGGGAAATGGGGCAGGAAGATGAGGTTCTTGCCCAACACCTAGCACACGGCAGGTGCTCAGAGCATCAGGAGCCATGCTACCTTCACACGGGTGCTAGTGCAGGAAGGCACTCAGTTGACCCCACCTGGCGTGCTCCCCTCCTCAAGCAAAGCAAAGGGGCTGTTTCCCCACCTCCCTGCAAGGGGCCTCACTTCCTCCTCTGTAAAGTGCAGGAAATAACCAGCCTCCATGGTCTCAGGGGACCCAATCTCGCTACCTGTCAACAGAGTGAGACCTGACTGGGACGTCAACCCATTACACAGAGCATCCCCGCCGGAGTGTGACGAGTTCCCCTGGAAAGTCGCACCCTACCAAGCCGGCACGCCCTCCCCAGGCTAGCAGATGCAAACTGAGGCTGGGCGCGGGAAGGGCTCCCCTCACCGCGGGCACAGGGGCTGCGTCCAGGCCTGCAGCGGGTCCAGCAGGGACAGAGCGGAGGTGGAGAGGACCCGGCCAAAGTCAGACGGAGAGGGGCCTGGGAGGGAAGGTTGGGCCTGGAGGGCGGGGTCGAGGCCAGAGGGCGGGGCCAGGGGTGGGGGCGGAGCCAGAGGTGGGGAGGGCGGGGCCCAGAGGAGGGGGCGTGGTCGAGTCCTACGTCCCGCCCCGCCCCTCCGTGACGCACCTGGAATTGGCGCGGCCAAGGCAGCGGGACCTCGCGCCGCGCCCCGCGTCCGCCCTCCCCGCAGTCCGACCCCACCCCGGCCGCGCACCCCCGCGGGCCTGCCGCCCCGTCCCCCACCCCCGCCCGAGCCCCAGGGTCCGCGTGCGGTATGTGGTGAGCGGGGTGCTGCGGCGGGGCGGGGCCGCGCGGGCGTCGGCGCGGCCGGGGCGCTTACTGTCCAGGTAGTGCTCCAAGTACATGGCAGTCGCCATCTTCGCCGCGGCCGCGTTCAGGGTCTGCGCGGGCGGGCGGTGCCGCGGGAACGGGGTTGGGGCGGTGCCGCGTGCTCACTATTCATGAGCCGTGCGCGCTGATTGGTCGGTGGCAGGGGGTGGGGCTAGAGCGGCCCCGCCCCCTGACTTCCGGCCGGCTCTGGAGCTGGAAGAGGCGCCTCGGGCTTCGGCCTCAGGGGCTGGGAAAGGACTGAGGAAGATGACGACCTAACGCCGCGGGGGTTCAGCCGGGGTCTCCGCCCGAAGCGCCGCCTCAGGGCGCCAGGTGCCGCCGGTGTCTGTCCGCACCTGCCTGCTGGCCTCACGCCTTGGCGGTCACCCACCATTGGCGCGTGACCGGGGAGTCCCGCTCGCACGTGGACCCGGCTGGGGTCGAGAGCGTCTGCGAAGCCGGCCGTCCAGCCGCCCACCCCTCGCGGCCGCTGTGCCGCCCCTTTCCTCCTGGCCAGAGGTGTCAGCTGGGCCAGAGCCCAGAACTGGCTGCTGTCCGCCTTGCCGAGGGGCTGCGTGGCCTCTCCGAGGACGGCGAGCCCCCCGCCCCCCGTCTTTTATTAAGGTCACTGCTGCCGTCCCGCCAGCGGGGGGCGCCCGCGCTTAACCTGGGCCCTGACGGGCCCCGGGCCACAGGTGCCCGCGTGCCAATGCGCTAGCGAGGAGGCTGTGCCCTTTTGGTGGGGGAATTAGGGTGCTTTGTGCGTGTCCAACCCTGAAGCGTCGTCGTGGCTGGTACTCGCCAGGCACCACATTTCTCTCACCCGCCACGCTGAAGCGCCCCTGCTAGGATTTAGGACTCAAGCGTCCATCAGAGCCTCACGGGTCCGGGTTATGTGCAGCCTCTCAACCCTGTGTGTACTCTGACCTCACGTTGGCCGGAGGTGAAGGATGCCCTGAAGTCTTCCAGCTGATCACCAGATTGACAGTACCAATTGAGAACGCCCTCCCCACGCATGCGCTTAATCCCGGGGATCCAAGGCTGTTGGTTCTACAGGACCTCATTACTTCAGATGCACTTTTTAAGAGGCTGGGGAAAAAACAAAACAGTAAACCTTATGGGATGGCAGGATGGCTCAGTGGTAAGAGTGCCCGTCTAGCAAGCATGAGGCCCTGAGTTCAAACCACAGCTCTGCAAAAAATAAATTTAAAAAAGCATTTTATCGTAGCCACTTGGGAGGCTGAGATTGGGAGAATCACAGTTCCAGGCCAATCCAGGAGACCCCATCCCCAAAATAACCAAAGCAAAATGGACTGGAGGTGTGGCTTAAGCAGTAGAGCACCTGCTTTGCAAGTATGAAACCCTGAGCTCAAAACACCAAAAATAAAAAGTGCAGTTTATTTTTTGTGGTGCTGGGGATTGAACACAGGGCCTCCAGCATACTGGTGTAGTAAGTATTCTACATTTGAACCGTGCTCCCAGCTCCCTTTCCTGATCTCCAAACTGTAATCACATACTGAAAAACAAGCATTTATTCTTCCTGTCAATTCTGTGCTCATAAAAATTCAAACTGCAAGAACTTAAAGTTTTCCACCTCTCCAGAGTGCTAGACGAATTGTATTATTCACCTTTGAGTCCCAGTGTTAGCAGTGTGGATATACCTTCCTGGACCCATTTCGTGTAATGAAAAGACATGCACCCTGTCCTTGTTACCTGGTTATGATTTGGGTGTTTTTGTTTTTGTTTTAATTGATAAGCTATTTTTCAAGCAGTCTTAGGTTTCTTGAAAAAAAAAATCAAGCATATGCCTGTAATCCTGTGATTGGTGGTAGTAGTGAGACATAAATGGTAGCCATAAAAGCAGAAAGGGCCCAGCCGGTGGCTCACACCTGTAATCCTAGCTATTCAGGAGGTAGAGATCAGGAGGATCGCAGTTTGAAGCCAGCCCAGGCAAAATAGTTTGCAAGACCCTATCTCAAAAACTCCTTCACGAAAATAGGGCTAGTGGAGTGGCTCAAGGTGAAGGCCCTGAGTTCAAGCCCCAGTACCAAAAAAGAGAGAGATTGGGAAATTATATTATTTTAACAAATATTTAAAGGGCCAGACTTTGACATTGGAGCTAGGATGGCCCCCTCCCATCTCCTAACTTACAGGAACAGGGAGACAAAGAGGAGCTACCTGCTTCTGCTTTCCTCTTTGAGATGTTAACAAGCTGCAAGGATCCTTGGATAGGTAGAGAGTAACGAAAAGGAAGTTCTAACTCACACCTGTTGTCTCTGGGTATGATTTGGGGGGAAGGTGACCCCTTCCTGTTTTGTCAACCATTTCAGCCACTCAGACCCATTATCTTTGACCACATATGTTACCCAGCTCTCCAGTATAAAAATTAGGAGTTGGGGACCAGCATTTTGTGTCTTTGCTCCCATTTCCCACGTGGGGGACAGGAAATGCTTTCCTTTTCTCCCCCTGACGCTGTTGTTCTCATTCTGGAGACAACCCTCTTTCAGTCTGTTGAAAGCATATTCCCCTCCTAATAAACTTTACTGTTACTTTTATTAAATCTTTGCGTCTTGGCTGAATTCTTCTCCTACCGGACTCAAGAACCAAGGTCATTCATATTCAGGACCATTTTTATTGGTAACACTAGCTGATAGAGTAATAATGTCACCATTTTGTGAACCGGCGGCCATTTTATCCTCAGGCCTCACTTCTTGAGAAGTGGAGCCTCCCCCAAGCAACCTCAACCACAATGGCAGCCCCACCCTTAACAGAAATCCCTGTGCTCTAAGCCACCTCCACCCCTAACTGAGACTCCTGCGCACCGTTAACCTCCTCAAGCTCCCTCTTCCATAAAAGCCACACCCAGCCCAGAGTCAGTGCTGCGCCATCTTCCCCTGGCCAGCCTGACAGCTCGAGCCTGTCATTACCCGTTGTTCTTGGACTTGAGACTTTTCTCGTGAGCTTTCTTTGGGAGCGGCGTTTTTCCTAACACTAGCTACTCAGGAGGCAGAGATCATGAGGATCAAGGTTCGAAGCCACCCTGGGGAAGCAGTTCTCGAGATACTGTCTCAGAGAAAAAAACTCAAAACAAAAAGAAGGGTCTGGAAGAGTGGCTTGAGGTGTAGCCCTGAGTTCAAGCTCCAGTACTATTAAAAAGGAGTGTAGAGTTCTCCTATTTACTATATCCTCCCCGTACACGCACTCCCACCCCCGCCAGTTTTCTATTTTGGACATTTTCCATTCCTATGGTGACCTTACTACCAATTGATGAAACAATATTGTAACATTGTTTACTAAGTCCATAGTTTAGAGTCTACTGTAGGTGTGGTATTGTAAGAGGTGCCTAACTGCTTTTGCAGTTTTGGGCCCACAAATTAACTAAAAACAGGGAAAGCTTGGCATCTTAACTAAAAACAGGGAAAGCTTGGCATCTCTGCCTTTTGTATTTGTCTTGACTCTAAGCCATTCTCTCTTCAGTCATCTTATAGTCACCTTGGAGCTCAGGAAGGATAGGACTTGCTGATATGTTTATGAGCAGAGATGGAGGAAATTGCCCCAAAGGAAGGGAACAACAGAGCCTCTTCAGGACAAGTGATAACTTCTTGGAACCTCTTCCAAAACAAAGACTGAGATAATGAACCACTGGAACACAATCTGTAACTGGACTGCTTAATTATGCATACCTTTTACCCCGCCCTAACTTGTCTATTTACATCTAAAGCTCATCTCTCTACCCAAGATGGCTACAGATGAGCTGAAGTGCTCCTTTGCCTCTTCTCATGCTGCCTTCCCAGGCCCTGACTAAATCTTTTTCTGCCCTTCACCATGTCTTTATTTGACATATGGGAGGGAGTGACTGGCCCAGGTGTTTGGGCCTGAGATCCAAAACTCCAGTTTCAGTCTGTTCTAGTTTTGACAGTCATGTCAGGTGTTCTCCTTTACAGTATCATACAGAACAGTCTCGCTGCCCTAAAAATCCCCTGTGCTCCACTTATTTCTCTCCCCTCACCCCCTGAATTTCACTGGCTCTGTACTTTTACTTTTTGCAGAATGTCATAGTTAGAATTCTACAGTGTAAAAAGTCTTTTCAGACTAGCTTCTCTTATTGACCAATATGCATGTAAGTCTCCTCCATGTCTTTGTGTTGTTGTTTAGCTGGGACTGGGGCTTGAACTTAGGGCTTTCACGCTTGCACAGCAGGCACTCTGGCACTTGAGCCATACCTCCGGTCCCTCCATGTTTTTCTGTGAGTTGCTAGTTCATTTCTTCTTGATTTCTGAAGCATTCTACTATATGATATTCCTCAGTCCATACACTCACCTATTCAAGGGCATCTTGGTGGCTTCTAAATTTTGGCAACTGTGAATAGAGCTGTTATAATCATTCATGTGCACGGTTTTTTTCTGGACAGTTTTCTGAGTTTTGTAAGAGACTGGCTGTGGCAGGAAGGCAGGGAGAGGGAAGGGAGATAATGAGAGACAATGAGTCCAACAGTGAAACAAAGAAAACCAGATTTGAGGAATGTCAAGTAGCACCTGAGGCAAGACCAGAGAAGGGTCACCTCGCCCCAGAGGTTAAAGTGGCCAATGAAATAATATGTGACCATGTATAGGACAAGCTGTACTCCCTCCATTTCTGTAACCTGCTCTAAATGGTGTATAAGGAAGGGCCCCTTTGTTGTCAGGCCTCAACCTTTAGATTCAAGTCCACTGGGTTGCTGCCAGCCTGCTTAGTAAACTTGTTTCCCAAAAGCTTTAGTGCCCTGTCTGTCTGAGCCATCATGCTACATTTCTGGGGACTTGCCAGGATTCAGAGGGTGGTGTTTTCACCTCTTTGTCACCAGCTCAGCGTCACCAGCTCACCAGGAGGGCTGCCCCTGCCAGGCACCACCAGACTTATTGGTCTGAGGGGAGGGAGCCTCTCTTACAGCAAACCAAAGAGGCGAGTTTCGGTAGCACAAAGGAATCTGAAAAGGCTCAGCAGCCAACTTGGGAACCCTGCTCATCAGACTGATAAGAACCTGTGTTCAAATTCAAGCCTGCCTCAGGAGGCAGAATGGGGAGTCTGATCAACTCCCAGCGAGACACCCTAGTAACCACATTTT